CAAGTATCTCGAAAGGTATGTATCTCTTACTTTGTAACGGTTTGCTTGAAATCATGTAGATTAAGTATGTGATAAGGGTGATTTAATTAACTCAATGTACCCTCGCGTTATTTTACATCTAGTGTGCTCACCTACAAGGATAAATGGGCTGCACCGCAGGCTGGAAAGCAGTTCAACCTTAATGTGCGAACCACATCACGAACAGAAGGGACTCATTGGATCATCAAAGATACTATGCAAACGACGGGCAGCCTCTATCGCACGTTTAAAGCTATTAACGAAGTCATGAAGAAGACAGTAAGAATTCTATATCCTCACTCATCTCCAGTGTTTGCTATTCAATTTTTATGTAGCGATATGCAAATAAGCTAACTTTGATGCTTAAAAGTTTAAAAAAGAAAAGATGGACTTCATAAAAGAGCTTCGCAACACTCCACTTTTCACAAAGCGTCAGAGTGCAGCTGTAAGAAACCTTTTCGGCCATGTTAGTTTCTTTGCTTTAAACCGAATTCGAAAGGAGCTTGACCATGCGTGGAAAAAAGTAGGCAACCAAATCAATTGCGACACATTGGATTATATTTGCACGAGTAGAATCAATTTCGGTTTACCACGCCAGCATATGATCAACCTAAACGGTCCTGCTGTTGACTTGAATGAGATTCCCAAACGTTGGCTCCTACAGTATGATTCAGGTATGTACTATTATACAGCTTCATCTACTAACAATAGCATGTTGTGGATACCCTCTCATATGAATGTGCTTCCTGTGTATTATATAGCTCTATTTGAAATTAGAGACCCAGCGGTATTAGTTGACCACCAGATGGAGAAGCTCGTTACAAACTTAAAGAACAAAATCATTTCCCTGGAAACCGAACAAGAGAAAGTCAATCTCTTATCCCGTTTTGAGGAGATCCTTGAGGAAGACGTTGAGACTGTTGATCTCACTGAAGTCACGTTTCCTGAGCCAGTTGCTACGAAAGGAAGGCCCAAGAATACGAAGGACAAAAGGATCCCATCTTCTTTTGAGACCGAAAAGAAAGAAGACTGCTTAATACTGCTGGTAACGATAAGCCTAAAAAGGCCCTTCAAACCAGCGAAGTACAACACGACGACTATGTCCTTTCAACATCGAAAAGGGATCAAGAAACTTTGTATTTGGAACGTGCTCGTAAAAGGTCAGTCTTTTTGTACTCAGAACAATTCTTCGTCATATGTACTATTCCCATTTTATACTAATAAATGTATATATGATTGTACATATAGAATTCGTATGTACCGAGCCTAAACGAGAGTCTTTCTCCTTTTTAGTTCACCCAGATATTCCGAGGGATTGCATTCATGAGACAGTTAATATTGCTTCTGACGGCTGGTGTGGCTTCCGCACCATCGCGCATTGCGTTAAAGGAGACCAAGAACAATTCATGACGGTCAAAAGGAAATGTTAGAGTGCCTGCACAAAAACAAGGACATATATTCGAAGTATTTCATCAGCATGTATGACCTTGCTCGCCTCGAGGAGACGATCGCCTTTGGCCTTGACTACACCCGCAACACTGAAGGCAAATATCCAAAGTGCCCCAGCAAGCATTGGTTCTACTACAGTCCTAGTTGTGCCCAACTTGCTGCTGTTACATACAGACGACCTATTGCTGTGTATCCGGACAGAGATGACAAAAACGAAAATGGAACGTACTGTACGGCGCCATTGTTAATTGTACCATTTGAAGGACCAAGAACGAATGCTCGACCGTTACCTCTTATCATGCAGTTCGTTTCAGGATGTCATTGGGCGACATTAGAAATGAAAACTGCAAAGAAACTACAATGGCCTTTTATCGAACGATCGATTGTAACAGCTTGTGAAAAGATGGGTCACACGCATGATTTGCACAAAAAACTTTGGAGATATTTGGACATTAAAAAGGTCAACATTGAGGAAAATGTTTAAAAAGAAACAATTTTTTTAATAGTTTTTTCTTATGCATCTGTGTGACACTTTCACATATCATTATCGATTTTCTCCTATTCCTTTTATATCAATATTAACATTTAATATACATATCCATGATAAAATCGATAAATATCAACTCAAGCTTTATTTCGCTCTTAGCACTCCATTTTGCACTCTATTCTCTATTGTCTACATCCTGCACTCCAACATCAGAGGGTCCATCAAGCGATATTTATAGAGCAGCTGTTTAGTTTTGTGCAACTATTTGGTTTATTTGAGGAAAAATGGAGTGTCGAGTCACTTTTTTGGAGTGTCCCTAGTAATACCCGTCAATAAAAGTTTCACTGCCTTCTTCCTCTTGTCGCCTTGTGAGAAGAAAAATAAAAATAGAAAGAACAACATTTGAACAATGTATATGCTGCCTAAACGTTAATGATGTTATAGCGTTATAACAGGCGGCGCCTATCAAATCGTAGCCTCTCTATCGTCTCTTGAAGCACCTCTTCCTTTTGCTCTCACAGCTGATTGTGCAATGGCAACAGCAATCTCTAGAATTTGACATTGTGGAATTGAGTTTTTTTTTTTGAAGGGGAGGGATGAATAAAACGTTGCTTTAGGCACGGTGGCGAAACTGAGTTGCTCTAACACAGAATATTGAGAAACAGCACGACCATCCTCATATGCAGTATGGTTGAAGTTCAATGATAGTTCAATCGGCGAACTTATTTATGATGGTGGGTAAGCGGAATTGCTGTTAAACGGGTTGAACAACAATTACACTAGGTGAATACTAGTCAAATATCAGTTGAATACGTAAAGAGCTGAATATTAGTTGATTATTAGTTGAATATCAGTGTAACACGTACATGGTTGAATATTAGTTTAATACACACCGTTTTTTCCAGTGGATAGGACCACACGACCACAAAGGTAACCACAAAAAAATAGAAGAACTGAAAGATGATGTTTTATTCAAAAAGATGACCTATATTTATACTGTTTTCTAAGTCTAAAAATATACAAATGATGCTGCGGATATAATCGTGGTAATGACAAAGGTGATGATGTTGATGATTGATGTTGCGCATCAAGGAAGTACAAGAGTAAGTAGCTGCACATTACGTCAGGGATGACTTAGCAACCACAGTAAAAGAAGTATCTATAGTTATTAAAATAACCGGATGTTGTACTACTGTCGAGTCGCTTTTTAGTAGGTGGATCCGTAGCCAATGAGAAAGGATAAGAGCAAAGGGTAATCAGAGAGGATAGAGGGTTGTTAAAAGATACTTTTTATTGCTTGTGATAATGTGGCTACTTATAATCTTTTTCTAATAAAGTGTCTTCTCGTTTGCCATATGATACAACCATATAATGTGCTACAATTGCAATGCTGTTGGATCCTGAATTCTACTCGTTGCTTGTGTGTTCGTTTGTATGGTTCAAACTTTATAAATCTTTATTAAATGGCCGTATAAGCGCTTCGCCAATCGCATACTCACTAAAGCCTGGTCGCCGTGACTAGTGAACAAAAACCCCATGAGTCAGAAGGGGAAAATGTAGAGTAAAATGATACAGAGCTTGAGAGAAAACAAAAGGGGAGTATCTAGGGGTTACAAGAGTGCACAAAGGTTAAGAGAGATAAAAGGTGGGGCGGGAGCTTGCAGCTACAAAGTGGCAAGGGATAGGGAATCTTTTTTTTTAATGTGTTTCTTTTCTTTCTTTCTTTTTTTTGTTTGTAAAGAACTAGTATAAGTAATTAGGTGTGGGGGAGAGCGAATAGAAAAGAGATAGGTCATAGGTGTGATTCAGCATTGGTTTGATCAAGCCACCGCAAAAAGTCGTCGCACGCGGTGGTGGCAATGCTAGTGTCTTTGGTGAATAAGTCGTCTTCGTGGCATAAACGATCGCTGTCTCAGAGTAAGCTGGTAAGTCGGCACCAATAAGAGCACCAATAATGTTTGGTAATGCTGCTGCGAGGGCAAGTTCTTAGTAACGAGCTGAGTATGAAGGAGATAGGATCCAGGATTACAAAAGGAACTTGTAGACACACATATGCTTACAGATAGATGATGACATGGTCCTAAGATAGGTGATGGTGATCTGAGCAATTGTGGCAGATTGCCTCCAGACGACCATTCGGCATCCAGCCAAGATGCCAATGTATGAGACGACTTTGATGATAGTATTGCATCGGCAGCTAAACAATTGGATCGACACCTAGTGTAGGAAGGCAAGCAGAGAGTAATTTAGCATACAGGCCAATACGAGTAGTTTCAAAAACGGCAGTATATAGGTTCCAATACCATGTGATAAGGGATATTAAACTATAACAAGTAAACTTGCCAGGTTTAATTATCTACTCATGTAAGTGTGAACCACCCATAGTCCACATCTTACATCTCTAAATATCATTAATAAGTAACATTTCGTCCTTCGTCCTCATGTTAAGGAGATATTTACTCACTACTGTTGTTGCACTGCTACTAATTATCATATAATATCAGACTTTTAAAGGATTAATCTTAATCTTGGGAATCAACCACAGTTATAAGAAACCTAAATTCAGAAAATATTTAAAAAAATATCTAAAAATATTAAAATCATTATTATATCTTTTATTTTTTATATTATAATTTGGATCTATTATTTTTCTGTAAATAATTAATTATTTTTTTTATCAATAGTTGAGGATTAATTCCCAAGGCTTCTTTCTTGATAAATGGCACCTCTTGAGGAGGGAGACGTTGCCACAATATGGTGTGTTGCAGGTGATGGTATTGGCTTGTAGAGACGACAGATAGTCGCAGGTAGATGAGCTTGTATATTTATATATTATCAATGTATTTTAGTGTGGTGGAATTCTGTTGTAATTGTTTACTGCCTGGCAAAAGTGTTGCGCCGCCAAAACAGAATAATTAAAGGCCAGTCATTTTTACTACAACAAAACTATGGCTAGAACAATTCTTTACTACTACTACTATTTATGATGAAAAGCTGGGAGTATGGTGTAGGGTATGTCTGTCGTAAAACCAATAACGACACGTTGGGGGATATGGCCTAGTGGTATGGCGTCTGCTTTGCATGCAGAAGATCCCGAGTTCGATCCTCGGTGTCTCCATAACTTGAAGCAATTCAAATTCAATCTTTTTTCAGAGGTGGCGAATTTATTTTTTTTTGTGTTGTTGTCATTGTCGTGATTTATATAGATAGAAAACCACAGGAGTAGCCCACACAGAGAGAACCACAAAGAAGGAGAAGACTATGAAGAGTAATACCGACAGGTGACCACAAAGATAATACGATAGTAGATAGATACCTTCTATTGTGATTGTTGATCCAAGGTATTTATACCTTTTGATCAACTTATAGGAATCAATAAAATATACAATATCAACATTACTAATACGATAACAATCTGATGAAGGTTGATGAATAATCGTGGAAGGAGTAAAGGGGATTGGTGCTAGGGGTCGCAATTGGATGGGTCGGGTTGGGTCAAGGGTCTGACCTGTTGACCTGTGGGTCAAAAAATCACGGACCCGACCCAACCCATTCAACCCGACGGGTCAAGACTGATTTCGATATGATGATAAAGGAAGTGTCAATCAACCTGAACTTGAGCACTCGAAGTACAAAACTCCATATATATATATATATATATATATAGCTCTCCAAGATGATGGCACACAAATTCCTAGCAGTGCTAGTAAGATCTACTTTCAAAGGTAAAGGGTTTTGTGCCATCACAAAAGAAATTGCTTGGGCTCACATGTATTAAAGAAAGCATAATATTTAAAGTGTGGTTGAAAATTGACTTCCCTATATGCCCCTTATCCTTTTCCCTTTTCCCTTTTCTTTTCACTTCTTTCTTCTTCCTTCAATTTTCTTTTCTCAATTCCTTTTCTGTCTTTTGTTAAATCGCGTCTCTTACTGCTACCTATTATTGTATACTCTCATTGCACTATTGCTACTTCTTGACTCCTATCATATATATTGCTTATAGCTTACTTATCCTATACTGTTGAATATAAAGTATAATCCCACAATAAGAAGAATTAAGTACGTTTTATGCTATAGTTTTATAGCAGACATATTGACAACTAATGATGTTTCCCAACAAGAAGATTGACTACTTAAATATAAGTACCTCATACATATTATATGTATACACGGGTCACGACGGGTCAACAGGTCGGGTCAAGGGTTGGACGGGTCGACCCACGGGTCAGAAAAGCATCAACCTGACCCGTTGACCCGTCCTCAACCTGCGGGTTAGTTTTGACCCGCAGGTCAGATTGTGGCCCCTAGTTACTATAGTACTGAAAATATTTATTATTCTTCTCTTTTCAATATAGTAATGGTCGTGCATATAATTTTTATAAAAATTGAACTTAGTATACAATTTAAAGGTACATTATCAAATATAAGCTATAAAAATGGAAAGTTTTATTGGAGTTGTGGGTGAATATATATATAAAGATAATGAAGATATTATAAATTATAAAAAAGATTAAAACATGAAATAAATAAGTTGATTATACATCAATGGTCTTTTCATAAATGAGTGGCTAAAAGTATTAATTATATATAAACATTATACATTAGTCTCTATTAGCAGTGTTGCATTTCTTTACTGCAAAAAGAACAAGTATCATTGTTGTATTAGTAACTAGTTATTAAAGGTAGTACTCAGCTGAGCCAATAAAATTTATTTAATCATAATCTTTGATTATGACTAGATGAAAAAAAAAGAATTTTTTTCTTTATATAGTTATTGTTCTTTAGTTATTAAATTTTGATTTAGCTATTAAAATTATTATTTTTCATAAGATAATAATATTTCTGTAAACATTAAGGTAATGTAGTACCCACGTACTTATCCCCTGTCTTAGAGTTCAAAAGTCACTCCCACCAATATTAATGGAAGTGCAACTGAAGTATAAATAATATCTATAATATTTGTTATAAATAACAATATTATAATATTTTATTATACTGTCAAGCGTTCTAAAAAAAATCTAACTTCATTGATTTTTTATTGAACTGGGCGTCGTCGTACCTCCTAGCCTGTTTTTTCTCAAACATAATAGTTGAGATTAATCCTAATGTTGAGAATCTTATAGAGTTTGAGAAATTATTTTTTTAATTAAAAAATTAATTTCATTATTTATTATAATCTTTTTAAAATTATATTCTCTATAATTTTTTTATTTATTTATTATCTTATTAAAGACATAATATTAAGGTTTACCTTCCACTGGTTGTCAGTAAACCATTCATGCAACAAGTAGTCCAATATTGCTAAAGCATATTACAACTATACAATATATATCTATTGGCTCTGATATTCTGTTACTGGGAAAAACGGTGTGTGTTAAATATTTAAAAGTGGTTGAGTACTAGTTGAATATTAGCTGATATTCAACTAGTATTCAACTGATATTCAACTGATGTTCGACGTTGAATATGTGCAATATTCAACTAATATTGAACCATTGAATATCTGCTGATATTCACCTAATACTCAACTGATATTACACTGATATTCAACCTTACTTTGCTCCAACATTTACCTAGCATTCACCTAATATTACACTGATATTCAACTATCATTTTGTGCCGACGTTTACCTAGTATTACCCTACTTTCATCCTAATCGTCATCATCATTACTTCCAACACCAACCTAGTGTTACCTAGGGGTCGTAATCTGACCTGCAGGTCAAAACCAACCCGCAGGTTGAGGACGGGTCAATGGGTCAGGTTGATGCTTTTCTGACCCACGGGTCGACCCATCCAACCCTTGACCCGACCTGTTGACCCGTCGTGACCTATGTATATATATAATATGTATGAGGTACTTATATTTAAGTAGTCAATCTTCTTGTTGGGAAACATCATTAGTTGTCAATATGTCTGCTATAGAACTATAGCATAAAACGTACTTAATTCTTTTTATTGTGGGACTATACTTTATATTCAACAGTATGGGATAAGTAAGCTATAAGCAATATATATGATAGGAGTAAAGAAGTAGCAATAGTGCAATAAGAATATACAATAGAGGGTGGCAGTAAGAGACGCGATTTAACAAAAGACAGAAAAGGAATTGAGAAAAGAAAATTGAAGGAAGAAGAAAGTAGTGAAGAGAAAAGGGAAAAGGGAAAAGGATAAGGGGCATATAGGGAAGTCGATTTTCAACCACACTTTAAATATTATGCTTTCTTTAAAGCATGTGAGCCCAAGCGATTTCTTTTGTGATGGCACAGAACCCTTTACCTTTAAGAAAAATCACTCAAAACGTAGATGTTGCTAGCACTGCTAGAAAATTTGCCTGCCATCATCTTAGAGAGCTATATATATATAGAGTTTTGCACTTCCAGTGCTCAAGTTCAGGCTGATCGACACTTCCTTCATCACTACAATGAAATCAGTCTTGACCCGTCAACCCGAGTTTTGACCCGTTGGGTTGAACGAATCGGGTCGGGTCAGTGTTTCCCACGGGTCAACGCATCAGACCCTTGACCTGACCCGACCCATCCAATTGCGACCCCTAATAGTAACTAATTAAATAATATAATTTTCTAAGTTATTAGATCAAAATAAAGCTATAGTATATTAGTGATAAATGTTTTCAATTAAGATTATAAAAAAAGGTATAAATTTAAGATTATTTTCATATCAAGCTTAATATTTTAATATATAGTACACATAATATCATGATCTGTAATTAATGTTTAGTCCCCTATATATTTTGATTATAAGAATGGTTATACTCGATACAGACATTCCTTGTGGCTATATCACTAGGATAAGACATACTTCAGTACTGAAGTACCCCACAGATGAAGAAGATTACATTATGAAGATGGTTCCACTCCTGAAGCTAGTAGTGTATGGTAAGATGGTAATGGAAAATATGCAGCAGCTATGCAATAATATGCATGCTGTACCAGCTGTTGTAATGCTAGTAGAGCCGAGTCTCATTCCACCTTCGTTCGTAGCAGTAGAGGGAGGTAGACCCCTAGTTACTATTTTTCATGTAAACAAAAACTTGAGAATTATTTAAGGTTGAGAAAAATCTTAATAGTTAAGAATTTATATAATAATCTTAAAACAAAAATACAAATTTTTTTAATTTAATATTTTAATTATAATTATTATCTATATCACTTCAATAATTTTGTTTTTAAAAACATATTTCATCATATAAAGATTTTTTAGGAATTTAATTTTTGATTTAATTAAAAAACAGAACATTAATCCTTCTGTAATTCTTATTATTATATCATAGAGAAAGGAATTAATGTTATTAATTTTATAGAGTAAAAAGAATTACTTTTAATCTAGTAATATAAATATATAATTATTTTTTTAAATCTGTATAATAAAACATTAGTTATTTAAGAATATATTTATAATGAATAATAATTTTCTGGAAATTAAAAAGATGAAAAATAAAAGTTTTTTACTTCTACTAGATATAGTATATCTTGAATTAATTTTTATTGTTTTTTAAGAGAAGATTTATCAGATGATTAGTTTATAGGTAAATGTTTATCCATTTATTTACTTTTTAATTTTTATTTGATAAATCTATATTATTTATAAATATTTTATGTTTAAAAAAGAAAAACATTATATAATTCTAATAGTAGTAATTACAGATATTATTTTTAAATTTTAAAGCATTTAAGAACAATCTGAATGTTGATTTTTATAAAAAAATAATAATAACTTAATATAATTAAATTTAAATTAATAATTTAAATAATCTTATTTTTTTCAAGAAATTTATTATAAAATCTCAAATATAAGCATAATGTTTAGCCCTTGCACAATCACCTACTTCATCAAAGCACTCTTGCTCAAAGTGAACTTTGCCTTATTATTCATCTTAATATATATATACTCATGAAGTTTTATCAGTTAGAATATTAAACCACAATAGCTAAAGTTGTTACATTTAACAATCCTATACATAAAAGGCTTGCACATCCCCATCAACCTTCCACCTCTATATATCATAATCTAGCTATATTTCGTTGACAAGCTCCTCAAGTAGAGGAGGGGTTTACTCACTACTGTTGCGCTGGGTTTAATCATTTTAGCTAATAACATTTATAGTGTCTAAATAATTTCGATCTAAATTTGAAACTCTTTATCTAAACCAATTAAAATTATAAAATTAAAAAAAGTCTAGAAAATCAAGATTTTCTTATTTTTTTATTTCTTTATAATTCCCTGTTAATATCAATTAATTAAAGTTTTAACAAATTTAAATTTGTTGAACCTTTAGTTATTAATAATTAACTCCCTTATTTCTTTATAATTCCCTGTTAATATCAATTAATTAAAGTTTTAACAAATTTAAATTTGTTGAACCTTTAGTTATTAATAATTAACTCCCTTAGTAATACAAAATTATTGGTTGTTCTGAATATATAATATCTTAAATCACTGAGCTCATTGTCGCTGTGAAGGATAGAAAACAATCTTGTTTGTATTAAATGACCAAATTTTAGCTATTCATTTTATTTTCAAGTAAATCCATATAATTATCATTAAAATCTTCTTACCAAATCCATTTATTATGTGAATTATCATAATCTTTCCATTTAACATAATATTTCATTCGTTTTTTAAATTTCCTATGTTCTATAATTCTTTCAACTTCAAAACTATCATCATCTATATAATTATCATTTTCTATATCTATATTATTTATTGGTAATTCATTGCTATGATTATCATTAAAGTAGTTTCGATTAAATATATCTTGTTGATTAGTCATATCTGTAATTCTTAATATATCAAATTCATATATAATGCTATTTATATTATTATTTCGACCAATAAAAAAAAACTAAATTTGTATATATAATTAAAATAGACAATATTATAAACAATGAACTTTCAAAAATAAATCATAAATACTAGCAATTTTTGGATAACTATAAAGATATCTGAATATAAGTATAGAGAAGAAATAAAAAATATAACAAATATACAGAAAATTAAGCAAGAATTAGTAGATAAATTAGGATACATTCCCATTTTCTTTTTTCTAATAGTTATTTTTAATAAATATGATTATAAAGGTCTTAACTATAGCAGCATCCCTTTTTCTATAACTGCATCCCTTTTTTCTATAGTAGCATCCCTTTTTCTATAGCAGCATCCTTTTTTCTATAGCAGCATCCCTTTTTCTATAGGTGCATCCCTTTTTCTATAGATGGATAATCAGTAATAGTAAAATATCCAAATAAGTTATATATAGAAAATATTATGTAGTTTATTATTTGAAATAGATATTTTATATATTTATATTTATATATTAAAATTGTTGATAAAAAAAAATACTTAGAAAAAAATATTATAATTTATTTATTATTTATCTTCATGTTTAATTTTCTTTTAGATTTAAAAAACTAAGTTTTTTGTTTTATAATTTTAATTTTGTTTTGTAGGATAATATTAAATTGGTAAAAAATAAAATACAATATATTAATTAGTGGTGGCAGAATGGTAATGAGCATATCCCTTCTTTAGGCAAGGAAAACTTGGACGCAGCCTAACTTGACAATGATATTTAGAGATGGAAGGTTGCAGAGGGAGGCAAGCCTTCCATGGGTAATTAACATTACCAACGCCTTCCTTTAAATTAGAATTAAAAAAATATATATAAATAACCATTTATTCATCATAGTAGCATCCCTTTTTCTATAGTAGCATCCCTTTTTCTATAGCAGCATCCCTTTTTCTATAGCAGCATCCCTTTTTCTATAGCAGCATCCCTTTTTCTATAGCAGCATCCCTTTTTCTATAGCAGCATCCCTTTTTCTATAGCAGCATCCCTTTTTCTATAGCAGCATCCCTTTTTCTATAGGTGCATCCCTTTTTCTATAGGTGCATTCCTTTTTCTATAGCAGCATCCCTTTTTCTATAGGTGCATCCCTTTTTCTATAGGCGCATCCCTTTTTCTATAGGCGCATCCCTTTTTCTATAGGTGCATCCCTTTTTCTATAGGTACATCCCTTTTTCTATTATGGCATCCCTTTTTCTATAGGTGCATCCCTTTTTCTATAGCAGCATCCCTTTTTCTATAGGTGCATCCCTTTTTCTATAGCAGCATCCCTTTTTCTATAGCAGCATCCCTTTTTCTATAGCAGCATCCCTTTTTCTATAGCAGCATCCCTTTTTCTATAGCAGCATCCTTTTTTCTATTATGGCATCCCTTTTTCTATTATGGCATCCCTTTTTCTATTATGGCATCCCTTTTTCTATTATGGCATCCCTTTTTCTATAACAGCATCCCTTTTTCTATAGCAGCATCCCTTTTTCTATAGCAGCATCCCTTTTTCTATAGCAGCATCCTTTTTTCTATTATGGCATCCTTTTTTATATAGCAGCATCCCTTTTTCTATAGCAGCATCCTTTTTTCTATTATGGCATCCCTTTTTCTATAGGTGCATCCCTTTTTCTATAGCAGCATCCCTTTTTCTATAGCAGCATCCCTTTTTCTATAGCAGCATCCCTTTTTCTATAGCAGCATCCTTTTTTCTATTATGGCATCCCTTTTTCTATAGGTGCATCCCTTTTTCTATAGCAGCATCCCTTTTTCTATAGCAGCATCCTTTTTTCTATTATGGCATCCTTTTTTATATAGCAGCATCCCTTTTTCTATAGCAGCATCCCTTTTTCTATAGGTGCATCCCTTTTTCTATAGCAGCATCCCTTTTTCTATAGCAGCATCCCTTTTTCTATAGCAGCATCCCTTTTTCTATAGCAGCATCCCTTTTTCTATAGCAGCATCCCTTTTTCTATAGCAGCATCCATTTTTCTATTATGGCATCCCTTTTTCTACTATGGCATCCCTTTTTCTATTATGGCATCCCTTTTTCTATAACAGCATCCCTTTTTCTATAGCATCATCCCTTTTTCTATAGCAGCATCCCTTTTTCTATAGCAGCATCCTTTTTTCTATTATGGCATCCCTTTTTCTATAGGTGCATCCCTTTTTCTATAGCAGCATCCCTTTTTCTATAGCAGCATCCTTTTTTCTATTATGGCATCCTTTTTTATATAGCAGCATCCCTTTTTCTATAGCAGCATCCCTTTTTCTATAGGTGCATCCCTTTTTCTATAGCAGCATCCCTTTTTCTATAGCAGCATCCCTTTTTCTATAGGTGCATCCCTTTTTCTATAGCAGCATCCCTTTTTCTATAGCAGCATCCCTTTTTCTATAGCAGCATCCCTTTTTCTATAGGTGCATCCCTTTTTCTAATAACTACATCCCTTTTTCTATAGGTACATCCCTTTTTCTAAGGTCCATATGTATTTATAGAAAAAGGTTTATGTTTATTATATCATTTAATAACAGGTAAATCTATAAGAGATATGAATGACTTTATTCCTTATACATCATTTTATGCAATTTATAAAGAATTTTGGGAAAATAATAAGAATGAATTAAATAGAATTATAACTAAATTATTAGAAAATATGTTTTCATCCACTACTTTGAGAATAATAAATGCAAAAAAGCTTAATCCTATAGGCTTTAAGAATATGACTTTACTTATAGATGGTCATGATAGTCGTATAGATTTTAACGATAAAGATATAAAGAAAAGAAATTTTTATTCATATAAATTCAAAAATTCAGGTTTACGAACACAAGTTATATATGATATTAATGAATTTGCAGTTAATGTATCTGATAGTAAACTATACAGAAATTATAATGATGGGCAAATGTTTTTAGATATGAAGTTGGAAAATAAATTAAATGAAAATGATTGCATAGCATTTGATGGTGGTTACTACTACTATATTGAAAAATTTATAGAAAATTGTGATAGAAAAAGAAATGATAAAATAAATCTTAATAATTTTATGTTTCCTATTAGAAAAAGTAAAAATATAGACTTAAATAATAATGAATTACTATATAATGAAACTTTTGGAAGTTTTAGAAGTAAAATAGAATCATGTTTTAGATTTCTTGGCAATAAATTCAAAGGGTTTAATAATAATGAAAGTACTATAAAAGCTACAGATTTAAAAATATATAATGTACAATTAAAATTATCACTTCTATTATTAAATATTCAAAAGTTTTGTCAGTTATATAATATACCTAATAAACCAAATCATCTGTTATGGGTTAATGAAAACTTTGATTATCCTAATCCTAATAGAAATAATAATATAAATAGCATTATATATGAATTTGATATATTAAGAATTACAGATATGACTAATCAACAAGATGTATTTATTCGAAACTACTTTAATGATAATCATAGCAATGAATTACCAATAAATAATATAGATATAGAAAATGACAATTATACAGATGATGATAGTTTTGAAGTTGAAAGAATTCTAAAACATAGGAAATTTAAAAAACGAATGAAATATTATATTAAATGGAAAGATTATGATGATTCACATAATGAATGGATTTGGCAAGATTTTAATGATACAGCAATTATTGATAATTATATAAATTTACTTGAAAATAAAATGAATAGCTAAAATTTGGTCATTTAATGCAAACAAGATTGTTTTCCTTCTAAATTTATTTCAAATTATAACCATATATTTTATTAATTTTATTAAGTATATTAATGAAGGAGAACATTTATTTATAAATAAATTTAAAAATTATATTAAACATATAATGAATTGAGAATATTAAATTTTTTCAAAACACTGCAATATATTAAGTACTAAAACATACAGCAAAAAATGAATAATTATTTTATAAGTATAGATTATATTTTTATTTTTTATTTTCATCTTCAATACTTTTTGCCAAGACTTTTTAATTCATCACATGACATGACATAAGCAATAATTTTACTTTTTGCATAAAAATTGAATTTCTTTAATGATAAAAAGATAAGCATGGAAACTATCAGTATAAAGAATTATGATAAATATGAATTTTCTGTAAAGTCATTAAATGATTTTAAATATAATCTTAATTATAAACTTAAAAATTTTATAATTGATCCTACTTTTGCATTTAGTAATTGTAGCACATGGCTTGGTAAAAAACCTTATAAAATTAAAATAAATATTGATATGACTAAAGAAGATAATATAGATTTTGAGAATATGATAAATGTTATGTATAATGAAATTAATTCTTATTTTAAAAAAATGGAAGGCTTGAATACAACATTAATTAATCCTCTAATAATTAAACTATATTAGAGAATACAATAATATTATACTTAACAATAAGCGATATTACAGTTATTAAAAATATTGAAAATAAAGAAAAAGTTGATATTGATTTATTGAAAAGTAAAAAGTTTAATATATATCCATTGATATTTTCTATATCAATTACTAAGTCTAATGAAAAAATATATATAAACTTTAACATAAAAAGTGCTTTCATAGAATTTCTAGAAAGCAATACAGTAGATAATATATTGAAATTAATTATGATACAGCTATAAATGCATTTAGGAATATAAAATAAATTAATGTCATGTGATGAATTAAAAAGTCTTGGCAAAAAGTGTCAAAAATACAATCTATACTTATAAAATAATTGTTCATTTTTTGCTGTATGTTCTAGTATTTAATATATTGCAGTGTTTTGAAAAATTTTAATATTCTCAATTCATTATATGTTTAGTAAAATTTTTAAATTTATTTATAGATTAATGTTCTCCAATGGTATAGCAAACTACGTTTAGAGAACAGTTATATGTTTTTATAATAACCAAATCATTCTAAACATAAAGAATCTATATATAAATTTTACAATTCCTAAAATAAAAAAATACATCAATTCTAAAAATTAATTATTAAGCATTTTTTCATGTAAATATTTTTAAGATAATTAATGCTAAGATCTTCTTAGAAATGACATAATATCACTTTATTTAATCAACATATACTAATATACATTAAATTACATATAAAAACATTACTTACCTAAAATAATATAATGCTATTTAGATGCTATGTGATTTCCAAGAAGATCTTAACATTAATTATCTAAAAAATATTTGCATCAAAAAATGCTTAATAATTAATTTTTAGAATTGATGTATTTTTTTATTTTAGGAATTGTAAAATTTATATATAGATTCTTTATGTTTAGAATGATTTGGCTATTATAAAAACATATATCATTAAGGATATATAACTGTTCTCCAGACGTAGTTTGCTATACCATCCTTCACAGCGACAATGGGCTCAGTGATTTAAGATATTGTATATTCAGAACAACCAACAATAGTGTATTACTAACTAATATAACTTCAAGAGTATATATATAAAAAAGTGTGGTATAAAACAAACAATGCAGAAAAAAAAGATGAATAATAAGACAAAGTTCACTTTGAGCAAGAGTGCTTTGATGAAGTAGGTGATTGCTCTACTGCTACAAACAAAGGTAGAATGAGACTCGGCTCTACTAGTAACACAACAGCTGGTACAGCATACGTATTATTGCATAGCTGCTGCATATTTTCCATTACCATCTTACCATACACCACTAGCTTCAGGAGTGGAACCATCTTCATGATGTAATCTTCTTCATCTGTGGGGTACTTCAGTACTGAGGATCCAGCCATTGTAACGCAATTGCACCATTTTCTCGCACACTGACATCTTGACCTACCAACACCGACAAATATTCAAAAAGATCGAGCTTGCTATCATCACCAACACATCGTCGTCGTTGTAGCTGGGAAACATGGCGTTGTCGTTCTTCTCCTTCCAGACTTAGCCCCACACGACCAATTGCCGTACGTTTTCCCCATGAAGTGAGTGCTTCTGTGTGCAAGGCGGCGTCGTGCATCCAATCGTTGTTAGTGTGGTAAACTAAGATCCGGTACAGACAGATGTCTTGATAGAAGGTTTCTCTTTACCGCACCGGGATCCAATAAGGGACACGGTTGCGCACATGCACCTAGCTGGATTGAAATGTGAATCCTTCATATAACTCAGTAAAGAAACCAAGTATGAAACAACCGTTCAAAAACACATCTCAAACCATCATAAAAGTTTTTTATTCGTTCTTACAGCAAAGCACCAGTAAGGTCCTTACTGACAAAGAAGTTGATAAGCTTTCCACCTTCAGATCTGTTTCTCCGTTAAGACCGAGTTCTCAAACAATGTTTGAAAGTTAGATATAAAAGAAGATAGTTTCTATAGCTGATATTGTACTTTGTTCAATCTTTTGAATATAATCCATTCTCAAACGACTTATTTGTCTTTGCTTATTTCGATTTACCACAGTTAGTCGCACTGGGTGGAGCAAACTGTCGTAAGATGTTATATAGTGGATCACGGCCAGAAATGTTCAATGCTGCCAAATTCATCGCACTTGCAAGATAACAGATATTCTTTGGTACACTCATCGCCCATTCTCGCCATAATGTTTCATTGTTTCGATCAATATGCATATGTAGACACCGATCGTTTTTCTTCAACAACATACAAACTTGTTGACGACGTTCGGCACTTTCTGGTTCTCCTTCTGCTTTTCCATGTTGGGCCATGGTCTCTGATGCGATTCGTTGGCGGGTAGTGGTCGGCAAGGTGATTTGGCTACTTCGTTGGTGTTGTACTTTGTTGTCATAAGCGGTAATAAACTGTGCTTTGGCTTCACCCAGCTACTGATAGAGGTTCGCAAGGCGTCCGCTAAGCATTTCTGAATCCGGGTGGCAGTGGTCAATAATACTCCGACAAATGTTATCGTGATCTTGTGGGAGAGGTGTAGCTATGTTCATGGCATACTCGGCAACTAAAATTGTGATCATCCAAGTTATATCCATCAGGCGTCGCATTTCAGGAAGCTGTTCGTCATATTTGTCGCGTCCAGGATCGAACGATGGAATAATGACGTTTGATGTTCCTTGTGGTGGTGCTTGCTGTTCGCCGTCATGAAGCCATTCCTCTGTTGCGAAAGTTTGTAACGTCGGAATTCCCACAACGTCCAAGAATTGTGTGTTCAGAATTCCATGCTTAAAATAAAAGTTGCCCAGGGCAGTTTTTGTGACAGTGCGTGAAAACGTGACGGCAATGAGCGGTCGTGTTGCATAAAAATAGCGTCGCAGCTGTGAGATGGCTCCGTCAAAAGTGTTTTCTTTGCCATACCACGGATACAAGTTGACAAAGGGGAAAATATTTGTATCCAATTCCTGGGGGCTCTAATTGGTATAGCCTTGTTCATATGCTTGCAAGCGTGCAAGAAAGTCTCGCGCAATATGACCAACTCTTGAAAATCCGGAAAGAAAAGGTTGGAAAGGAGGATTACCACGGTAGAACGAAATCGGTACATCGTGTCCAACGAGCGCAAGAATAGTATGTCCAAGGACGATCCTAGGTCGACCTTGGTCAAGGATTGCTTCAAGTGCTTGATTATTCAGTGGGCATCGGATGGTGTTGGCTGCTTGTTGGTTTTCCGTAACGTAATTTCGGATAAAATAAATCCAATCTTGGAGCCCAAGTTCAATATCAGCTGATGGTGGTACCGCACGCTTTTGAAATTCGTCAAAGAAATTGGTCTCCATATTCACAAAGAGTGTACGGTCATGGTCACTTGGTTTGTATGACGCAAAAAAACCACCATATTGCTGGTTGAGTAAGAGCCTTTGCTGAAAGATGGCGATCAATATACGCTCCTGTAGATCAAGGACGAATGTACTTGTCTGTGGTGGAAGTTGTGCGTTCGGGAATTCAAAGATACGGCAAGAAGCAAAACCGACTGGGCTAACTACTTTTAAGGCACGTAAAACTCGCCAAGTACATTATTGAGTTGCACTGCGCTTGCTATATCATTTTGGTGACGGCCGAAGGGAGTGGTTGGGTTGGTGCTGGTACCGATGTAGCGGATATGTAGCGGAGCTTTTGGATTTTGCTCAAGTTGTTTAAATCGGTATATACTGGAGATAATTTTCCCGTAGTGAAAAGCCAGACTCTGACGAATACGCTTATGAACATCTCTAATTTTACCAATGCAATGTCCATCGTTCGACAACAAGAACCCTCTGCCCATCATTATGCAGCATCTCAATAACAATCATTGGGCTACAATCGATACATAATAACGCACTTCAGGATGGACTGGCGTATTATCAACTCGATGTGTATAAAGGCATACCGATCAATGGGTAAGTTGATAATCTGCGTAAAACAAAGTGGCGTTATCTGCAAAAAAAAGCCTGACGACGAAAAGACGGTGCGTGCTGGACCCTCTACACTAGATAGTCACTCTACTAGTAGACAAATTTTTACTTCCTGAACAGTATTTCCTCTCTCCTCGAACACCGCTCTCTTCATTTGATTGTTATTTGATATAATGTAGTAGAGTTAAATAGCGATGTTGATCAGTTTTACTTTATACCTTAAAGGAACACTAATATGATATAGGAAACAAAAGAACAAACCACTTAGGTATACACAACCTTGCGGACACCCCCACAAGTATATATTGATAGGATGGGGTGTCCGTATCAAAGCCTCATAATAAAGCAGTTTAGATTCCTTTCGGTCTCGTTGACTTATTCTGTCTCTTTTGGTTCATTGAATATAACATAATGCAAAAGTAAGATACATAGGCTCTTTGGAACTTGTGAAACAGCAGGAGAATAGAGAAAAAGTATGGCACAAAAGCTAAAAGAAAAAGAAATATGCAAAAGTAGTTGAAGTTATGGATTTTAGCAGCAGTTTCTCTTTGTGCTTGTATAAGCGCCACTTGTGATACCCAGAACGCTTTGAGGCAGTTTAAATTTCTATACTCTACGCATATTCAAAATGGAACACACAATGTGAGTTATAAAAGAAATCGTGTTGAAAATAAAAAGTTAAACCTAACAAATGCCAGCATTGCTTAGAAAAATAGAGATCCCGTTTCCAACCAATCGCTTGGCAACGATTGCTCAACGTGTATTAAATGTCGACAAAGAACTCAAAACTGATCAAGTCAAACGATCGCTGAGCGTCAATGACGATAAACTAGAAGCGTACGTTGTTTTGAGTGTAATGGCATTATCATACTTTCAGACTAACAGAAGAGTTTATTGATAAAAGACTTTTCGAGTGTACGACGGCACGTATGATGCGCGTTTCGGTGAATTCCTTCCTGGAGATGCTAACCATGGTCACTCGAACAATGGACGAGTGCGACACGCTGAACGCTTAGCTTACATAACATTACCAAACAAGCAAAGAAAATTGGCGAGGGGAAACAAAATATGGAATAAACACACAAGCGGATTATTTTACTTTACTTTTCTTACGCGCGTTCTTTTTCTTCTTTATCCTCTTTTAATTTCTCAACGACAACAACAATGGTACTACCCAACGATCTGGAGGCATGGAAAAAGCTCCAAAAGCACTATGATTCCGTCGGTCGCGACTTGGTCATGAAAGAAATGTTTATGGAGGACAAGAACCGCTTCAAGAAATTCTCGCGTCATTATAACAATAACGAGCTTTTGCTGGATTTCTCTAAAAACATAATCAATGAAGCGACGCTGAACCTGTTGCTGGCGCTTGCCAAGGAAGCCAAGGTCGAAGAGATGCGTGACAAGATGTTTTCAGGCGAGCATATCAACATTACTGAGGATCGCGCTGTTTTACATGTTGCATTGCGTAATCTCAGTGATAAACCCATCTATGACAAGGGCGAGGATGTCATGCCCGAGGTCCGTGAGGTGCTTGCACATATGAAGGATTTCACAGAATCGGTCCGATCTGGCAAGTGGAAGGGATATACTCGCAAATCCATCACCGACATTGTCAATATCGGCATCGGCGGCTCGGATCTGGGTCCATTGATGGTGTGCGAAGCACTCAAGCACTATGGAAAGGACAATTTGCGTGCCCATTTTGTGTCCAATATCGACGGCACTCATCTCGCGGAGACACTAAAGGTGGTGCATCCGGAAACGACTCTCTTCATTGTTGCTAGTAAGACTTTTACCACTGCTGAGACGATCACGAATGCAAATTCTGCCAAAAAATGGTTCTTGGAACATGCAAAGGATGTAAGTACAGTCAAGAAAGAATGCATCATTGGTATCCATTATGTTAATATCCCTTGCCTTCACAGAATAAACATGTGGCCAAGCATTTTGTTGCCGTGTCGACCAACCACAAAGAAGTATCTGCGTTTGGCATCGACACTAAAAACATGTTCCAGTTTTGGGATTGGGTCGGTGGCCGTTTTTCGGTGTGGTCAGCCATTGGTTTGTCGGTTGCTCTATTTATTGGATACGACAATTTCGAATTGTTCTTGCGCGGGGCCCATGAGATGGATGAACACTTTCGCACTACGCCTCTCAAAGACAACCTTCCCGTTCTACTTGGGTTGCTCAGTGTCTGGTACAATAATTTTTTTGGTGCGCAAACAGAAGCATATTTGCCTTATGACCAGTACATGCATCGCTTCACCGCGTACTTTCAGCAATGCTCCATGGAATCAAACGGCAAATACGTCTCCCGCAGCGGTGACCGTGTGATCGCCTCAACTGCACCCATCCTTTGGGGCGAACCAGGTACCAACGGCCAACACGCATTCTATCAAGCCATTCACCAGGGTATGAAACTCGTTCCGTGCGATTTTCTTGCACCTATCGAAACTCTGAATCCTATCGAGCATGGAAAGCATCACGAGATGCTCTTATCCAACTTCTTCGCTCAGACCGAGGCGTTAATGGTTGGCAAGACCGAAGAGCAAGTGCGCAAAGAAATGGGACCCAAGGCGGACGACAAAATTGTGCCTCAGCGTGTGTTCCCCGGCAACAAACCTACCAACTCGATCATGTTTCAAAAACTTACGCCCAAGACACTGGGCACATTGATAGCCATGTACGAGCACAAGAATTTCACCCAAGGTGTCATTTGGAACATCAACTCGTTCGACCAGTGGGGTGTCGAGCTTGGAAAGCAGCTGGCCAAGGTGATTGAGCCCGAGCTTGCTAAAAAGGGGACCGTATCGACGCATGATGTGTCGACGAACGGACTTATCAATCATTACAAGTCGCATAAGCGTTCGTACGAAGACATTAGCTAAATTTTTAGTACATTTTGCATACACAAAACCCATGCAATAAAAAAAGTGGCTAGCCCATTTTCTCCCTCTCTTCTAAGTTCTCCTTTAACCTTTTAGCTGTCGGCCTAAGATAAAGTTCAAACAAACCGATATGCCTGGCCTAACTACTCCACAGAATCAGCGTTTCGGTGTCCATGACATGCCACCCAACGAATGCTATGATCGCATAGACGAATTCTTGGATGCCAACAAGAATGTTGCTACCAGTTTTATCGCCGACGATGACAACCAGAACATGGGCTTGCTCTGTGCTAATCTACCCAACAATCAAACACGGGCAACTGCAGTGGCTCTCAGCCGAAGGCAGATTGCTAACTATCTTATGACGCACGGTTACGTATGCGAAGGACCCGTCAGTAATGACTCAACCGGTATCCGATGTGTACGGCCACAACAGTAGTGAGAGAGGCTTTCAGCAATAACGACAGCTGTATGTCGCGGTAGAAACGTGCAGAATAGCTTGTTCCTTTTCTTGTGTACACATTCGTTGAATAGGTGATGCTCGTTTACTTGTAATAAATTCAAAAAAAAGTTCGGTTGCTTCTAATAAAAATGGCTTCCAGCAGCTTGGGTGTATAGACTATGGCTGCGTAATATCAAACAGCAAGGTCAAACAATCTGTCAATCGCTTGGACTTTACTGCTCAGCTTAATTTCTAACAGCGGACAACTGTTATAAGTTATCTCGTCTCACTTTTTTCCTGCAGTTTACCTTTCACTTCTCTCTTTGTCAAATACACACTTCATGTCCGCCCACGAGCATTGTCAATGCAACGTTTATAAATGCATTGCACAGATACCTATTGATCCGATCGATCGTGATCGATTCGAGGTAAGCATTTCACACAGAGCTTTGTCAAAAACTAGTTACTCGGTATTCTTACCTTGTGTTCTATCTTTCAACCCGTGGAACGTAAAACCAAAACAGATGTTTGAACGATCTGCTATACTATTCCGCTCGATACACGAATCAACGCGACAATCACAACAACATTCTTTGAAAGAAACGCGTTCACAGTCAAAATTGCCGAAAATCAGTTCCGAGTACAAAGCAATGGTGCAAAACTATTTTGCGTCAATGACGACCGGAAAGTCGTTTTCAGAATTTGTTAAGGTTCGTGTAGTTACTTTTTCGTAAACTGTATACCAGCTTGAAAGGAGCAAGCGCTACACTCCTCTTTTGTACTTTTCTCACCTTTAATTTGGGATCATTTCCTATACTGTAGGCTCAAGGCCAGCTTGGCGTAGGCAAACTTAAAGAGTACAAACATCTTTTAGGAATGTGGGAGCTTTGCGATATCCTCTATTTTACAGATGGCGATAAGCGGAAAACAGGCACAAGGCTTTTACAATGGATAAATGATATTGATAAAAGTGAGACAACTAGAATCATACTAAGGAACATTGGAGGAAATTGTCTTCAGACGTGAAACTCAAACATTGTAACAATTGTTGTATTTTAGGTTCGCACAATTTTGATATTCAAGGAATCATGAGAAATCAGGAGGGTCCTATCGAACACCGAGATTTTTGGTCTTGCGTAAACAAGTAACGCTTTTTCAACATTTCTATTCTCTTTCCTGTGTACAGATATATATATATATATATATATATATATATATTATAGAGCTAACGAAGTGTTATCAAACGCGTAGGCTGATCTTTCGACGAGATTTCCAAAACCTTATCCAACTCTTAAAAAAAGTCAAAAGTCAAGAAGCGACATCAAAGGAAGCAGCACAACTGATCGATTATCTTCTGTGGATCATCGTCGACATACCCCCGATACCCGACAATCTGGACGATATGGTACAGACAGACAAGTACTGGAGCGATCGCACGAGATGGCGTGAAAAAGTGTATAAAACAGCAAATTCTTTGCAAAAAGCTCGTGTACCATCCGTCATGATGCACCAGAAAAGTCTCCTCAGCGCACTCGGCATTCTCCATGGAGAACCGAAAACTATTGCCAATTGTGCCAGTAATGCAGCAGAAGCCATAATCAGTCTAATCGTCAACGCACATCCATTCGCCGCACCAAATGACATACGAACTATTGCAAACAACGAACCAGATTTATCATTAAATCAGAAGGATGAACGCTTTTATTCATACGCCATGATGATTCAAGGAAACATTGGCTGTGCTTTGGAGACGTTCAAACTGAATGATTGGTGGACACTGGTGCATTTGGTGGACTTGTTCGGGCTGGTCGAAGAGTCAAACTATGTCACTACGATCGATGTTCAACTTTTCAATCCTGATGATGATCGACGATACGATATGCATTTTCGATCGTTCCTTATACTTGTATATGTGCGCATGCTGAGCCAGCAAAGTAGTCTCTGGCACTACGGCTTGGACTACCTAAAAACGTGCGGAACACTTGGTCGAGCGGCACTTATGGATGTGAGTCTCGGTTGTATTTTCCATGAGCAAATAGTTCATTCTCGTACGTAAACCAAGCTAACAAATTAATTCATCAGTACATTCAATCGATGCCTGTTGACCATCATTTTCAAGCAAAGAAAGTAAAGCGTCTACTGGAACATTGTATGGAGCGTGATTATGTTAAAGAAGTCGTCGAGATCTGGAAGGTTGGTATTTCATTTACATATGTTGTTGCATGTAAGTGATATTAACAAATTGATGTAATAGTGCTTGGCCGAACGTGGTATCGAAAACACCTACTCAGAAATCATACGTTACTTGTGCGGTGTTGGGGATTTTTCGTCTATGGAGCAAATATGCGAATTGGCAGTCTATCATTTTGCGCGCACGGGTAAGAAAAATCAAGATAATTTCAATTGCAAGGAAAAAAAAGTATGGTTGCAACCCTTACTAATATTGAAATTTTATGATAGGAGAGTTGACGGATATCGATACTTTGGAATCCCGGTTGGATAATTACAGTGAGCCATTGCCGCAAGTTTCATTCTTCATCCAGTTTTACAAGCTGCATGTTCTATACGAAGTATGTGCCTTAAACTCTGAAATCCATTTCTGTTATCATACAGCGTTCTTACTAACCATGTGTATATATTTATCGATACACCAATTTAGAAGCAAGAGTTTGACGAAGCTATTGAGCTTTTGTATGATCTTTTGATGTCTGACGACACTGATCCCAAGTTTATACCACTTCTCGTAGTCGAAGGAGGTAATGAACTTGAAGGTAAAGATAAAAAAAAACTAATGAATTTGTAAAAGTAAAGAGAGTGGTGCGAGAAGAACCTTCAAAATTGACCGCATCTATTAGAAAAATTCGCCCGGTACTCAGAAACTCAAATCATGTCGTTCCAATACATGCTGCATGATTTACTAAGCCGTGATCAGCTTCCTGGATTGGACTTGCTTGCACTCTACCTCCAACAAACCAAAACCTTTGCTGTTCAGAATGGTACCCAGTATCTCAATATAGTCAAGGAAACTTTTCGCGATTACGTTGAAAACGTGATATATCGATGTGATCAATATAAGCAAATGAATCTGGATGCAGCGACAACGAGGCAACCTTTGTATGGCCAGGAGCAGCAATAAAAAGAAGCTATACACATATACCATAATCTCCACCCTTCACTCTGCACGACAACCTGAAATAAAGGAAAAAGCGGAATGGTATATGGACATATACTGTACTGGCCCGTAACCTTTGGCGGATGATCAGTTGAAGTATGATGGATGAAATGTATGTGGGTTTTTTATTATTATACAGAGGATACAGTGATGGTTTTGGTTTGTAGAAGGAGTGATACTATATGAGTGTTGGTTGCCCTTGATGGATTCTTTTTATTGTTGCTTTTTATCGTGGTTTAACGAACCTAATTGGGAAATGACTTGGCGACACAGTGAGGCAGAACAAATAACACCGTGTTTGAACGGCACTGCGGTGGGTTCTGAGTCATCTGCGGAGGGTGGAATACAACGTGGTTCTTCTTGGCCATCATCGTCTTGGAAAATCCAGCTCTCTACCTCCCCCAACAAGCCTTCAAATTCTGCAAACGGTATAAATCTCTGGAAATCTTGTGACAATTTGACAGGTTTTACGGCATCGGGATTATCCGACTGCTGCTGTTGTTGCCCAGAAGCAGCTGCCGGTGATGGTTGAGGTGGTGTTGCAGTGTTCTCGGGCCGTGACGATAATGGTGAGGCGAGTTTGTGTTGGAATGCAGCGTCAGATACGCAAATGGTATTTGGATTCGTGAACCAGATATCCAATGCGTGTCTATCACAGCCGTCCTTTTCAGCACGTTTCACACAATTCCTCTAATTCACGACACATTATTTTAGATACATACCTTGATACATATATAATGCGGACCGAATCAACTGCACGTGGAATGATTGAAAGATCACCAATGGAGCCCTTGAGCGTATTGTGCAGCTCCAGTTTTTCCAAAGACATCATGAACGGAAGTGTTTGGAACAACACCTGAAAAATGCAATTTTAGCGAACCATCCACTCTATATAGGCGAGAGAGTATCTCATTATTACCTGTATGAGATATACGACATCGCGTTTATCGTTCAAAATATCTTGTAGGAACGAAGCTACGCGCCAATGTGGGTTTCTTGTTACTGACAAATGCAGTAATGTAGGAGCTTCCGTGTCTTTTTTCGTGTCTTTCTCGTATTCCTCTTTCATGCCAACTTGGATAATGTACTGTCGTGCTCGTCCAGTGTTTGGAGAATCCCAGCGAATGACACAAGTAAAATCCTTGAAATCCATGTATCCAAAGGCATGTTAGCGATCGTATATATCACCAGTGATTGTTTTTTCTTATTACCTTGCCATAGGTAAACTTGAGTTCTTGCATGTTGAAACTGTCAAAGTCTAGCTGTTCTTTGTACTTCTCCAGCCATTTTGACGATGCTACAAGAAGACAAGGTACGTCAGTTTTTTACACAGCAAAACAGAGAAACAGAAAACAGCCGTTCAGTAAAAATGCAACAACTTACATTGCCGAGCCAAGTTTGCCATCATGTATATCCTTTCCCAGTCTATCAGAAATCTGTCAATGCATGAATCGATCTCGGTGTATGTAAAAGATAGGACGTTTGAAGGTCTGTCCAATGAAATGTGATCTGCTATAGACGAAAAGGAAATGTTAGTTCATCGTATCCACACGCACACAATTAAGCATGCTTCTTCCTTTTTGTTCTTACCATTAAAATCCTGAATTGGCAGTGGTATATTCTTCCAGTCAAATCTATCTTGCATGACAACGAAGCACTCGTTTCGTCCACAGGCCCACCATCCAGATGCACGCATCAGGACGTCGTTCCACATGAGCGGTGTCATTCTGTCCACCCACGGTCGGACATGTAACGGTATCTCCTTGCCAACACCACCAGGATGCTGTGTATGAGTGTCGTCGACATTACGCGCTGCACAGGCCTTCAAAAGCTCGCGTTGTGGTACACAGAGAACCTCCATTTTGTTGGCCGCAGGGTGATTTAGAACTTGCGATTCAGCAGTAGGTAGAGACTTAAGCAGTGGTCGTGACATATAGGTAACAGAGCTGAGCAAAAGTTGGGACTCGACTTTGCGATTGGTAATGAATGCACTAAGTAGGAATAAAACAGCAGCAAGTAAGTTATTAGCAAATTGCGTATTTACAGGTATAATGAATATATACATACCGGCAGAGCGAGTCCAGTTTTGCCATGAAACGCAAATCAATTGATAAGCTATTATAATACGAGATAGGAGTGAGTTATCGATAGAAATGCAGAAAATAACGACAGCAGTAAACACATACTTGTCCACGTTTCGAACTACATCTGTCTTTCCACTAGCATCCACTCGGCCATTGTGTGTTTTCCGCCGCTTCTTCTGGGCATTTTCTTCTCTATCTTCAACTTCCTCCTCCTCAATTTCTTCCAGGTGACTCTTTCGCTTCTTGGTATGCACATCGGCACCACAAGAGTTCCCGGCGCTCTCCAGCTGGGGCATAAACTGTTCTTTCCACATTTCTTCGTAGTCCACATGCATCATATCAACGATCATCTGGAATAAACCATTCGCATCCCGTTTTTCGCTAAGTGACGAAACAACATGGTGAGTAAATTCAAAGGATGAAAAGATTTCCTACCAGCCCCTTTGCATATATATTCATTAAGCACTTACTTGATACAACATAACCATGAATAAACCTCGTTTTGCACAATAGTAACAACCAGATACCAGTCTTTGAACTGGGCAAATTGTAAAAACACACAGTGTGATGGGTATTGTAGCCTGTTTGCTGGAGCGTGTGCTGCTGCTGTTGAATCTGGAGAGTGTTCTCGAGGCGTCTGATGGCTTGACAGGATATCACCAAAGAGTTTCACAAGATCGTCTGCGCGTAGCGACATTTGTGAAGTGTGGAAGGGTTGCAGACTGAGCTGCTTGGCCAATGATACGATTTCACGAATAACGACTTCGGATCGTAGCCAGAGTAGATGCTTGGAGACATTGGATGGGTCGCTGTTCAGCCGCTCCTCAAGCTCTTTAAGTTTAGCTACAAATACAGAAAAATAGCCATTTGCTTAACAAAACAGTCCACATGGCTATCTCTCAACCCTCTCCCGAATCTGGAGAATCTTCTCACCATCGCCTTCGCCAAGACGATATCCTGCCTCGCGAACTTTGATGCGACCCGATCGCATATCCAAGTTGATATTGATGTAGCGATGGTGACGATATCTAACAATCACTGGCGAAATATCCATCTTCTTCTCGTTCATGTAAAGTTGATCTGTTGATTCATACATATGAGCGAGAAAAATCGATATATCACGGAGCGGCATGTTGGTATAAGAGATTAATGAAGTAAAATGATACCTTTAAGGTCATCTGTAGCCGCAGTTTCCAAGTCAGAGATGACATCTTCAAGTCGACCTTCCACCAAATGTAATCCATTTTCATTGAGGAAAGACTCTTGCACTTTCAGCACCGAACGTAATTTCTCAATGATGCATAAACTGTGGTGTCGTGTTACATGCCACAAGACACGCTCAACATCGATATCCGATGGATTCTAATTGATAGCATCCAGCATTAGCGATTTTGATAAGCATATAAAGACCCAATGAAGTATTAAAGTCAAATAACAGATGAACCGTTCTTCCCTCCCTTACTTACCAATAATTCAGCGCTTGTGTGCAAGTTGCTATCGCCACCCCACAAAACATCCAGTTGGTTCTTTGGATATTTGAGAGCTGAAACAATCTTTGGCCGATCCGCATTATCCATTTTTGAAAGCTCTACCGATGCTCCAAGTCCAGCTTGCTCAATAAGTCCTTTCAAATCATCTCGAATGCTGATGGCCATGTTGACTTGCGGTGAGAACGGTCCTCTCCGTTTGTCAGTTTCGTTGCTGATCGAGATCTCTAGCGCGGTACTGTTGTTATTGCTGTTGTTTGTCTGAGGTTCGCTAGATCGCTCTCCTTCATCACGCTGCGTTTGGACAATAGATGCTTCAAGTGTTAGTATCACACCAGTGTCTACGCGTATATTGTACTAAATAATTATATATGCGAACCTGTGGACGAGCCCAATGAGCTGCTGGAGATCCGCCCTTCCAATAGATAAGTGTCAGCTTGGTTCTTGTCGCATCCATAAACACCTTAAGCTGATCCAACCATCGCGTTCTCGACACCATAACAGCCTGCATATATACGATCTCTAATTGCATGTTGAGACAGAACAGATGTAAATAGTCGTAAAGGTTGACGAGTGGAAAGTATACTGGGGTTGCTGTCGTATCGGGCGTTGTCGTTACTGCTGGTGGTGGTGGTAATAGTTGTTTTTGGGCGTTCATTCGTAAATTATGCAACTGCGCTTCATTCAATGAAATATCCACATCTTTATACCAACAAAACATTTAAATTCAGTTCAGTTTCGTTTATTTTTCTTTACTTACATAACAGCATTTCTCCCCCTTTTTTTGTTCACTATTCTCCTCTATTATGTAAGCAAACTTACCAGCAGCACCACTGCCTGCCGTTGATTTGACTAACACATTTAACGCTACGATCCACCATCGCCGCTCGTTCGGAGCACCCATAAGCGTAAGAGAGACTTCGAATTCGTTCTGGATCAAGAACTTGATTCGGCCACTCTCTATCAAGGACATGTCATCTATTTGTGATGCTGCTACTAAACGAATCACCTTACCTATTCGATAGTCTTTCATCGGTGAAGGTAGTACTTCTGTCGTCATCATTCGCATACGAATTACGTCGTTCATTTTACCGAAAGTGTCCAGTACATCGTTGTCCGTCAAAGGAACGGGTATACTCTAGGTACAAATAATATACACGTGATCCATAATTAGTTTGTGATCACGATTATACACACCTTCCCTCTTTCCTTTATCCAACCTTCTCATTAATTGTCTGGCCCTCTTAGCCATCCAATATGCCGTACCTGAAACTTTGTCGGCATTCGCTGATAGGATCCAGTCGTTAGCACGTCGACTGCACTGAGAATATCGAAATTGCGTATCCTGGCTTTTGGCAATTCTGCATGAATCTTGTGCAAAAAGTGTGTCGAATCGCGAAAGATCTGATTTTGATTGGCCAAAAAAGCCATGATATTCTATACGCCAGTGCAGAAGCCATCATAATGAGTTTGCGTATTAGCAACATGAGAGAAATAGCCATGGTTATACAGCTCCCTCTACTCATTCTTTCATACCTGACACATTTGGATATCTTCTGCGTTGTCTGCCCATTTCACAAGCACTTGCAATTTTATAATTTGTTTCCGAACTAACGTCGCATAGTTGAGAATTTGTCGTTTCTTTTCCACTTCACCTCGAGAAGGCAATCTAAAAATACAATTGTGAGCAATGTGTCAGCACAATAAAATAGCAACAAGACGCGAGCGAGCGTGCATGCACGAATCGAAAAAAACAGCGGCGACAACGACGACAACGAGGATGCAAAATGTTTAGTGAAAATAAGGAAAAGAAAATAATAATTACGTGTCTGTCAATGTCATTAAATCAGCGTGAGCTTTACGAATCATCTTGCTAATGAGAGTTTGAAGAGGCACCATGCAGGCCATTTCGTTGGGTAACGTTATTTTTTCATCGATGTTATTACTGCTTCGTTCGTTGTGATTGCCATTTTGCTGCTGTTGTTTTGCATCGTGTGTGTTACTACTGTTGATCGCTGTTGCTTTCTTTCCATTGCCGTTCTCTTGAGTGTGACCATTACTCTCCATTGGCCGTTGATTTTCATCAGATTCTGAGATCGGTTGCATTAATTTGTAAATAGAATGGAATGTATTGGAATTTAATGGTGCTTGTTGGCTCTTTTTATTCTTGTTTGGCAAGGAACAAAGAGAAGAAAAGAAAGCAGCGGAACAATTAATCTTCAGTGCCGACAATTGATTTATCTGCTAAATTTTATACTGCCAAATAACGAAAGCATTTCATTATAGTGCTAAACGACAGATGGTCGATGTCTTATGACAGCAGTATCTTTTTTTTCTAAAGATGGCCTTGTACACAATTGCTGGTGTAATAATGTAGTATGCAATACGGCATCCGATAACTGATGGTTATTTCAAATGACGCACAGCTCAGTGCAGCCGTTAAATTCTTTATCTTGCTTTACAATAACCAACGATACCCCTTTTTCAAAATTACGTGCAAATGGATGACAAGTTCATTGAATGGTCTACCGTACAAAACACGTGGATAGACCAGTACAGCTCATGCGACGAACTCCCTCAAAAGCTCATTACAGCCTTCTTTGACCCCAACAAGCTGTTTACCAAGAATGCCATTCCCCTATTTAAAGGTGAGAAACCTATTTTCCCGCGCATTGAGGACGCGTTGCACGATTTTAGGCTAATGTACTAATATTGCGAAATAAATAACAGCCGTGGATGCCTCGACTGGAACATTCCAACTCGTAATGACAGCTGCAACTTGTCGTAACTTTCAAGAAACGCTGACAATGTTAATGCAACGCATCGACCCGAAACTTCCCGTACCACAGCAACCGACCCCATTCTGCTCTCAATACATTGACGCTCAGGAATTCCAAGTCAACAGCAAAAATGCCTTCTCTCGGCTACAGCAAAAAGTGAAAAAAGCGAACAAAGCAGCCGACAAGTTACAGCGTGCCAAAGACGATTTGCGACGAGCAGCGGAACTGGTGCAAGGCAAGCACTATGTCTTTTGTGCCATTGATATTGAAGCCTGGGAGCAAGACCACAGTATCTTACTCGAGATAGGATGGAGCTTGTACGATTCGAAAAGCGACCGATATATGGATCAGCACTATCTGATTAATTCATATCGACATCTGGAGAATGGACGCTACGTGAGCGATCAGAAAATGCAGTTTGCATTTGGTACGTCCGTATGGTGCTCGCTGGACCAGGCGCTCAAAGAGTTAAAAAAGGATCTGGATTGGTGCGTGCAACGCGACGGCGGGTTCGTTCTAGTAGGGCACGGATTGGATAGCGATTTAAGATATCTTCGAAAGGCCAAGTTCCTTTGGCCCGGGAGCAATGGCCGAGGTGATACGCTGGACGTTAACCAAAGCGCATTGGTAACTATCTGCAACACCGATGAAATGTATGCAGCTTCGATCAGCAACTTGCATAACCCACCCTCGCTTGGAAGCACACTTGGAATACTCGGGATTGATTGTTGGAATTTACATAATGCTGGTAAGGCAGAGGAAATTACATTGTGCATATATTGGTTCTTTGAATATCCAGTAATCCTTGTTTGTACAGGAAACGATGCCCATTACACGATGCTGCTCTTTATGGAGCTTATCAAAAAAGCTAATGGATAACAAAATATTATAGTACCCAATACTTTAGTTACACACATGTTTAATAACAAGTCTCGATTGATTCATGCGACAAGCTTTTTTCATATTAGCAACATCAACAGTTGTCATAACTCTTGCCAAGTCCAAAGAGTTCAATTGATTGTATTGGCTATACAACCGTTTTGCTGGGCAAAAACACGATACGATATATATCTGGGAGATTCTTTTAAATTATGCAGAATTGCTTTTTGTACAGTTGAAGAGAAAATATACACTATTGACGAGGTTGTTGCTGCACCACGGCTTGTCCATATCGGATAATCATATCCTTTGCAGACATATAGGCTCTGACAACCACTGGAGGGACACGGGGATCCCGTGAGACATTGTCCAGTACAACTCGCAGTCTGGTGAAAGCTTGACGGTTGTAAGTCGAAAGATGGTAGCGGAAACGCAAAAACTGGGCATACAAGAAAATGGACATGATTTGGAATCTACATTGAATATATGTTAGATATCGCTCTTCCTCTCTTCCATTTTTTCGAACATCTTCAATTCCCGGGGCTTTCACTATCCTTCGTTCTTTTGCAATCCCATCTTTTGGCTTTTACCTAAACACACCGAGCAACAGACGGCCCATGATACCAACAACTTCGATTTGGGCAACAAAACGCATTGCGGCATCGTAATTCTTATCTGTCCACGACTTGATCCGTTGCTGAGTTTTGGCTTGCCAGGTTACTGGTCCACTGCCGGAAGACGATGACGCGGTCGAAGGTGGTACGGGGAAAACAGTTGGAATAATGTTGGATCGAACGTAGCCAAGTGCGTGGAACGTGGAGAAGGTGGCAAAGGGGACGAGAGTAACTAATGTTAAACTGTGTTTTAGCATAATCGCTATATGATTTCCTTTCCCCGGAAAGAAGTAATTATTCAATAAATCCGCTTTATCCCTGTGCTATATTATTACCTGAAATAGGTTTCGAGAAAAACCAATACAAGGCAAGAAGAAGATACTGAACGTTTTCATCCATAACAAGACGTTGCGCATAGTGAGTGTTGAGTTGTGGTGTCTAAATTGGGAAAAAAATAGTGTTAGTAACGGTACATAGTAACACTCTTACTCCAAATAAATAAGCGTTTCTTACTCCATGGGTTTTATAAATAACAACACCATACGAAATGAGTGCTCCAACGTATGCGATAGTATAGGGTTTGCTTGCTGAACGGAACATCACAACTGACAAAAAGTGCAAAGCCGAGCCAACGAGTGTCAGCACATGGCCAGCAAACCAAGCAAACTGCAAGGTCTGGTTTTTTTTTACATATTTAGCTTGTCTAGAGCAATATAACCGAGTCTGTAAAGAGTATAACTTACCTGTACCAAATTTAAAATGCGGTCCTGTAACGATGACGACGGCGATGGAGTAGGCATTTTTGAGAACCAAGAAGAATAGAGTTTGGAGAGAAAAACCGCGCGTGTCGCTTGTTCGCTTTCTATTTGGTGTCTCGCTTTCTTTATTTTTCTCATGACCTGATTGGTCGCCTATAACTTCCCGCATCATCATCCAGCAAGTGCCACTTATCCCCGACATCTACGGCAATAGTGTCTACTGTGCAACCTTATGTGCTTAAAGGCAATAGTATAGTTGCTCACATCCGATCATGCTTATAGAAAGAAGGAGCGCTTATACGAATCTTCTGCTTTTGTAATTAAATGGTGTGGTAGAGTTAGAAAACAAATTGCATCTAGTGAGAAAAACGTAAGGTGTGTGTGTTGTGTATATTCATCTTTGGTAGTATTTTGTCTATTGAACTCAAATTTCAATGAGCTATTGAGAGTAAGCATGACAGTAAATAATTGGTTTTATACTGTGTTTTTGGTAAGTATAGTAACCGTTAGTTTTTTCTAACATAACCGTAAAAGGAGGTCATCTCCGTTGCTGCTAGATCATCGAAGTCAAGCTACCATAGTGCAGCCCGCTTATAACTTCTGTTCTTTCGATCGTTGATCACAACTATCGAGTTTTCGAACACATACTCTCGACTCTGTCGGTATGCTATTATACATATCCCACTGCTTTTTACAAATTACGAGTTCATTTAGAATGATCTGAGCAGCACTCAATTAAAATAACAGAGTAACACAGAACCAGAAGAAGGTTTGAGAACCTCTTGGTTAAATTCTGCACAGATCAACACTTCAAGGTCAATCCTACCCAATCTTGGCCAAGTCAAATTGGTAAGTGTGCCACCAGGATTTCGGATTTGTGATATTACTCTACAACTTAAGGGCCAATGTCTCAATTGTGGTGCATCACCAAACAACTATAAATAACGGAAGTCAAAGAGTTTAGGATGGGATTACTTTTGAAATGTTCTAGTATGTAAGACATAGACACAAAGCTTGATGAGTTTCTAGCGTCGAGATTTGGACAAGGTTGTACCGAATTTTTTACCAGATTATTGCCCAAAGCTGTTGAGGTCTCAAACCTCTCAGATGGACCTCAAGCTGCTGAAGGTGGCGGGCCCGTTAGACCCCCCTCCCCTTTCTCCTTAAAGGTTCAACAGTACTGTCGATTGAAAAGCTCTACTGAATCCAGGGCAGTCTACTTGCTATTGGAAAGATTCAAAGAGCATAAAATGTCAGATGCTCTCCTGATAGGCCATTTCTCAACAATGGCTTGAAAACCACCTGGGCTTCCTTGACAGTTATTTTTCAAAGACGCAGGACACGGTTGAGTTCTTTGCTTGACAATGTTGTCCTTGCACGGTGTGTATTCCAACCACCAATGCCACTTGAGCTTTAGATCAGGCTCTCCTCTGGTTTAAAGGTTTTAGAGTGCGTGATGACGTCCTGGGTCCTTTAAATAGGGCTTCCTTTGGAGAGAACATAGGGCTCTTGGCCCTACAGGACATTGGAAGTTCGATTACAGACGGAAGGTCAGATCGAGACGGCCAAAAAGTTAGTTGGGGAGATCGTTAATAGTATATCTTTTACTTGAACACTCGTAATATAGATTTGAAATAGTGCCTATATGGAAAATCAAAAGACTACCTGAAAGTACACAAACCGTACCTTCTAGCCACTTTAAACAGAATCCAAAGTTCAAGACCGTAACAAAATACCTCAAAGGTATCAATTGATGACTCTACCTTGTTCGCAAAGTAGGGAAGAATGTCATTTTGCTTTCTCAAGTCCTCGGTTATACGGTACGGTTTTATAGGTTACAAGACTGAATAGTTTGAGATTTTATGAACGACAACCTTCAGGTCCTCTTTGTTGACTGACACGCTCAATTCAGATCTTGTCCACTATTACATACAGCCATCCAAATTCTCAACTTGAGTATTGTTTCAGCCAGATTGATAGGTAGTTATCCCTGTATCGATGTGAGGATTAGAGCATAGAATTTTATTCTAGGGTTCAAAAGCATATATAGCCTAACGTAAAATAACTTTTGAATAGAAATGACTGCGGTTGACCAATTTGTTTGAGCCCAAAACCGTTTGACATGCTGCTAATGACACACAATCAACGGACAATACATACCTAATCATTTAAAAAAAGGTTCTTTGTGAATGGATGTTAAGAAGCTTATGATTTTTAAAGACTCTACTCATCGTCGTCATTATGATAATGTAAGACAAAAACGGCAGCAGCTATGTTTTTTTTTTTCAGGAAAACTCCTAATCGCATTATTGTCCACCATTTATTGTTGTGCCCGTTCGATATATGTACGTTTGACATTTAATATCATGGGAACAATAAAAGTATTACCCAAATCTATAGTATCCCCGTCATTCGCTCTTTTTTCTTTTACCTAACCTGCATATCCATGTGCTTGTCGTTGTACATATTTTACTTAAGATACCACGTTGTGGGTATACTGTATAAGTCTCCACATAACACATCGGAAAGAAAATAAGAAGAACAAAATAGTTTTAATAATAACTCTTTGAAAAGGTAATACACGTAATAGCAAGCTATAGCGTGCGTATACGCACATGAGAGTATTCACATATTATCCAGACGCACTTTAATGGAAAACGTGTTTTGCAAGTGCTATACATGCCTTCAGGAGAACGTAAAAGAATGCGGTACGTACTATACGGTGGCACTTTATAATTCATCCTCTTTCGCAAATTGTATATACTAGCAGCCGCCGTGCCTTTTTGCTTATGTTTGTTTTGTAACTCTATGTCGCTATAATGCAGGAGATTTGAGAATTTCTCGCCGCGAAAGATATACGTGAAAACGGAAAAGATGGAATTTATGGGAATTAATCAAACGTACATGCTGGTGGTATAGTAGCAGCATAGCTTAAAAATATACAGACTCTTCTCCTTTTTTTTGCCTAAGAACATACTATAGAATACCAATTCAAAGTATAAGCAACGATAAATATTCACGCTATGGGTAAATGATGAACAGCAACAGTAGCAGTAGTAGCAACAGTAACAACAACAACAGTGGTATAATACGGGGGTGATGGAGGGGCGTGGAGTGAAGGGAGTTTTCCGATGTTGTGGACGATCTCACTCCTCTTGGTCCTTAATCATACAATCTCCTTGATGGAAAAAGCATGTCCTCACTCTTTCTCGTCCTTTTTCTTTTTCTAGGACTCTCTGTCTTTTCGCCCGCCCCTCGTCCTATGTTATCCCCACAGCATTTACACCCTCAAAAAAAAGGTTTTCTCTTTTATGGCCAATAGACTTTCTTCGTTTTGCCGACAGAAGAGCAACGCAAGCAACAGCCATTCCCTGTTCTCTCTTTCTCTCTCTGTGTGTATTATGTTCTTGCGTGTTTCTTATGTTGCACTTCTCCCATGTAAGCCTCACAGACATTACTCACATGCTCACGCATGAACAACAAAACAGACACGCGCACTTGCATGAGTATGTATGTGCTTTTTACAGTACCAGCAATGTCGAATTAATAGCTCTGCACTGCTACTATTACCACGCAATAAAGCCCCATTGTGGAAGATAAAGAAAAGGAAAAAAAAAGAAGGAGAAGGAGACTTTGTCAAAGATGTCGATGAGCTACATAGAGATTTACATCGTATGTAGACTTTTAACCTAATAGCGGTTCGATTACCATCTGAATGTATACGTAATGCAAGGAGCTTTTACAATTTCCACACATAAAGACATCACATAGACGCAAAAACAAAGAGTAGGAGGATGGGGGCCACTGCCTGCTTTAAAGGATCGAGATGGTGTTGATAATCTCATTATTACCAGCATCTTTGCTATGATCGCTTTCAATAAAGAGACATCTCGATTCATGTAACAGCATCTTTATCATCTCCCTTATATTATTTGAGAAAGATGATGCGGCATATCAGACCCTAGTAGCAGAGATGGTGCCACGCGTTAAAAGCAGCAGTACCTTTATTCTCATCAACATAGAAAATGGCTAGTGCAAATGATAAGCTCATGCATAGAAATTAATTAAAGGAATGTATGAAAGAGAGCATACCAACGGTTTTTGGTAAATGTATTTTATAATAGTGGCGATTTGTTTATTTCACTCTATATAGATCAGATTACCATAGTAGTATTGAGCTCACGGGAGCTCCCGATTACTCTTTGCTAATTGCACGAAATTATGCCTAGTAGATCTACGTACTACTTTGACTACTGCTATTGCTACGCACGACATTTTAATATGTCATTGTAGACGTACGGTATCATCTCCAGAGACCTTGTCATGTCCAAGATACATAATATATCATGTACTTAGTAATAGATCAATCTGTATTAACCCTCCACCACCATTGTTCTCCTCACTTGGCTGAGCAGATGGATTCATTGTGAGACAATGACTTCAGGTAAATTGATAAAACTTATTATTGAACGAAGATACGATACGGAAACAAAATATACACATCAATGTGATAAGGATCGCTACCACAAATTTTTTTTGAAATTAGCAACGTTCAAAATGAGGAGAGCATATATCACGTCTAGTTACTTTGGTAATTCCCCAAACTTTATGTTTACAAAATAGCCCACAGGTCCTACGTAGTAATGGCAGTAGTGGCAGCCCTTTGTTTCTTTTTTTTTGTGTTTGTTCCTTTACAAGCAAATACAGTATCTATATATCCCTAGATAGGACAAAAAGGATAATATCTATCCGTAGTATTGGCTGTAATGCTCACTCTCTCTCTCACACTCTCTCTCTCCTTGTTCTTCTCCCCAACTCCTGCCTCCCAGTAAATTCCAAGCTTAACATGGACAAACTATTTGACAGATAAGATATTTTTGGGGTATTAAAGTTCTGCGCAGGGGACACGCACCATAGAACCTAGATTTATCTTTTATAAGATTTAGCTTTCAGGTACATTTTGTTGTTCATATGCCATTGTAAAATAAAAGAAACAAGAAATACGTGCGGAATATTTATACTGTTAACAATGATGCGATTACCTTATCTATGGGAACAATAAGATGATTGTAGTAAGATCTCGTTTACTGCTATGTATATGAAAACCGCTATGAGATAATGCTGGTTGAACTTTGATCACTTTATTGCAATAGATGCGGAAGATGGTCAGTGCATCTTTCGTTCTTTTGTTAAAAAAAAGCTTCGAGAATACCTTTTTGAGCGTATCTATTGTTGTTGCTATTGAAAATTACTATCAAATACTTGGAGCTCCGTAAGCTCGTTACTTTCGTTTCTCGTCGACAACTTAAAACCCTTGTACCTTTTGTGAGAATTGCGTGATTTAATTAAGGACTGAGTAAGCAATAGATCAGCTACACGCGGTATAGTAGATCTAGCAAGTCATTGTTTGCTAATATAATAGTAAGGAACATTGAGATATCATATGTATGTTGCTTATGTCTGCCATGCACTCGTCGTCCTGCTGTACAGTATCCTTCTATACGCATTCTTTCTGGTTGGTTGCCTTAGTATGTGCGGTTGCATATAAATGCATACTATACACAGCTATTCATATTAAAAGTGCGGTCGAGCAGCAACTGTTGTTCTGTGTGTAGTAGGTAGTGATTTTGTTAAAAGTGAAAAAAAGGAAAGTCGTGCATGTGTATCACTATGGTAAAGGCACCTTCACAGTTGTAGTGTAGGAGTGTTTAAGCTTCTGAACCTCTTTAAGGAAAGACATGGATGGACAGAAAACATATTAAAAGAAGAATTTGTTGGATTATCTCAAGGAGACATGCTTTCAGGAGGCAAGCCGAATTGCAGCTAGAAAGAAGGCCCCCCCCCCACCCCAGCCTCCTTCTTCACTCAAAGTATACCCACGTAAAGGCAACATGAGAAAAAGAGAACTGAGCAACACTGTACAGTAGAACGGAGTGTGAGGGGAGGGAAAGAAAGACGATCAACACGCATTACGTTCATCGGCTCACATCAATTGGGCGATGTGGATCAGTCTCTCTCTCTCTCTCTGTGTGCGTCTTCTAATCACATCATTTTTTCTTGTCCCTACTGTCGGCTTTTCCCCTCCCCTCCTCTCTCTCCCTTCGTTCTTCTGCTGTCAGTGGAAGAAGAGAAGGTGGTGTCAGTTGAAGTATAAATCTTTCTACTATGTCTTTTTTTGCTTTTCCTCCTTAATTGATAATTGTCGGCTTCAACGATCCGGTCTGGGCCGGAGGAATAGCCTTTTATCCTTTACACTATCAGTCTGTACTCCTGCAACATTTGCCGTCTCTCTCGCTCTCTCTCGCTCACTTTCTCTATTTGGTACACTGCTACTTTATTATCGACTTATAAAGCAAGCGTTTCTTTTCTCCCTCTTTTGTCTCACGTACACCATCCACTCACGCTACATATTCTCTTTTTCCAGATACTTTTGGGAGAAGCAGACAAAGGGGTTCATGGCGAAAAAGAGAAGAGAGCAGTGCCTTTTTGCTAGGGCCCATCTCTTCCTTATTATCACAGTAGCACATACATCGATCAGCGAATTACTTATCCTATTATTAGTGACCCATTGATGATGCGTCTCGACCAGCATTATGCATTTTTAATTAATATACTTGGCATCGACGACATCATCATTACGCTAGCTCTATACCATGCGGCCGATCACGCCAACCACCGGTAAAATAAAATAAAAAGAATTATTTACGTTCCATCTGTTGCCAAATTTGAATTTATACAACGTTTTTTATTCAAACATTGTTAAAGGAAGAAAACGGGCGCCCCACACGACGACGGTAGGAACATATTTCGTGTAGTCATGGGAGCTATCCCAAAATGCTTGTGTATCATAGCGATAAATTTGCTAATACCACCCACCGTCTTGGGGGGTTGTGGGAAGGGAAGAAAGGGTTGGGGGGAGGTGGAGAAAGAGTGCCTTGAGGACGCTTCTCAATGATCCTATCACGAGTCGTACTTGGTGTTTGTTCATCAGATGAAGGACCCGATTTTGTGTAGATAACGGAAAAGTATAGAAAGAAGGTTTCAGGTGTGTGTGTGTGTGTGTGTGTGTGTTGTTCATCCACTAAAAAAAGAGCAGAGGTTCCAATGCACGCTTAATTCAAAAACTCGTGTAGTTTTCTTTTGACGATTGGAACAAGAAAAGTATACAACACAGAGGCAACGGGCTGCTCGATGAAAAAGTTAGCAGCAAGCACACAGCAGTCTCAGTAGCCGTTAAAGTATAATAGCACAATAGCAAGACAGAGTGCTTGTACACACATTTGCATAACATCACCACCATCATAGACGATCTTCACTGTCGGCTTTATCCCCTTAATTGACAAGCACCTGCTAATCCCATATTTTCCGGTCGGGATAGGGATAAGGCATAGTTCTGGGTCACACAACAACAGTACGCAGCAGAGAGAGTGTTATGTGAGCAACAGTAAACTGAAAAAAGTCATATGATTTTGCATTGCAGCAATAAGGTCCGGGATCACAGACGCGAGTTTCTCCTCCCTTGTCTCCTGGTTTATAGCAGCAGCAGCAGCATCAGTAGTAGTAGTAGTAGTAGTAGTAGAGATGCTGCCCCTCCCTCTTCTTCTCTACATGCGGTCCTCGCCCCCCAAGAATTTTTCACGCAGATAGAAGAGAAGACACCCCTTGAGCCTTTTTCCTAAGTAAAAGAATTGTTGGCCTCAAGAACGAGGGCTCAGCATCATGCCCGTCATGTTGATGTAAGAATGATGATGAATGTACTACAAGAGTTGTTGCACAATTTAATAACCATTAAAAGATGCATGTAATTGTAACCTCTATGGGAGAGAAAGATGCGGTAGCGCAATGCTGATAGTATCAATGAAATGAAGCAAGTCGAGTGATGTAGGATGGGTTTCGTAACAGGCCATTGCCTAGCAATTCATTCTTTCCAAATATGGAATTGGTCATGTACATACTTTACGCTAGTGGGAAATGAGCCGTGCGTTGCAGGTGCCAGCAAGTGTAGCAGCGGCAAGTCTCTCTATCTAGGCTTATTCGATCTGGGCTGCGCACGGTCTCGGTGATTCTGATCGTTCTTGTGTTCCATTGAGGCACAGATAACAACTGTTATGTCACAATCGAGATAAACCAGACAATAGACGAATTTTGTATTACAAGAAGATGAGATATTTCCAGCAATGTATATTATTATTATTAGGATTATTATTATTATTATTAGAGAGAAGATGTGGAGATATAAAGGGAGAGAAGCAAAAAAATGTATATGGAAAGAGGATGGTCAACAAAGTGTACCGTGATGAAAGATGGATGATAAATACTACTACTTTTTTTTGTAATTTTGTTTTGGGAGCGGGTTGGTGGAGTGTCACTTGTGTGTCTGCTTTGAAATGAACTAGAGCAAAAAAAGCATATACATAATAGTAGGATCTGGAGGGACGTACGATACGAGAGGGAGAATAGAATCTATTTTGTTGTCGAACGACCCTTTTACAAAGTATGTGAGTGTGTGTAATGTGGTTGTAGTGACTAGGGCATAATGAGCATAAAATGAAAGAGAGGATGTGTATAAGCCAATTGAGTGAAGAGAGAGAGAGAGAGAGAGAGTATAATTGGGTGCATCACGGACCAGGCGATGGCATGAATAATCAAGATATATACAAACATGCAAAGAGAAAAGAGATGAAACGAATAATAAAAAAACGATGGGCGCATGTGCACACGCACGCACATGGGCAAAAACACGCACAGAAAAGCACATATTAATGCATAGTCAAGTATGCAGAAATAGTAGTAGAGAAAGAGAAGAAACAGGTATTAAAGCGGCACGCCGCTTGCAAGAAAAGATGATAGGATGAAATAGAAAAGATAAGATAGTATAGTAATATGAGGTGTGTGCGTTGGAAAGAAGGAAGAAGTATGGCAAGCGAGGAGATTAAAAGGGGATAGCAAAGAGGTAGAGAGCACAAGTCCGGACTTTTACTTGATCTTGATCGAGTAAGCAGCTGCAGATGTGTTGTTTCGCGTGGTTGCATGCGCGTAAGGGTGGTAATGATGAGGATGATAGTCGGGAGTCGAGGGTGTCATGGCGCACGAAGCAGGACGCTCTGCAGCTGGATGATGGAATGTAAATGCAGATGCTGGTGCAGACCATCTGTGCTGCTGCTGCAGGTGCAGGTGCTGGTGCTGGTGGTATGGATGCTGTCTCGTATCCGACATGTAAACTCGCTGTTGCTGCTGTTGCTGTTGCTGTGCCGAAGGTCTATAGACAATAGGTGCAACCAATGGCGGAGAAACGCGGTATTGCGAACAGTGATCGGTCGGAGTGGCAGGAGGACTTGGCGACCTGTCGGCTTCGGAATCCTCGCTCGTTGCCGGGGAAGGCGGAGATTTGGTGGAGGCACTAGATACAAGTAAATAGATGATGACACGGTGAGTGGAACCTGGATAGGGTAGTAGTAGTAGTAGTAGCAGCTTATGCCAGAATACATACTTTACTGGCTTCCAGCTGGGGTCATGGCAGCGCTGATGACGAGACAAGGTGGTCTTGCGTGTGAAAGATTTGCCACAGTCGGGAAAGTCGCATACATAGGGGCGCTTTCCAGTGTGGGTGCGTCTGTGTCTCGCTAAGGATGAGGACTAGAATAAGGGTGTCGTGTTAGCCGAGAATGTTATTACAAACAGATGCGAGAGAGTGTAATAAGGTCGTGTACATGTGGGAGAGCATTAAGCGGGTACATACGTCACTGAAGGATTTGCCGCAAGCGTCGTACTCGCACACGTGAGGACGTTCGCCAGTGTGTGTGCGGAAGTGTACGGTGAGTGCGCTGCGTTGTATAAACTGTTTACCGCAGCCGTCCCATTCACAGTGGTAGGGACGTTCGCCGGTGTGGATCCTTCGATGTCTCGAAAGATCGGAGCGTCGCGAGAAGCGTTTGCCGCAATCATCCCAGGAGCAGACGTACTGCTTGTCGTGGGGACTGTTGTTCTGCGCGTCGAAGGAGGAGGTAGTAGTAGTAGTGGTAGTGGTCGTTGCAAGGTGGGCGCCTTCGAGGTCTTGGGCGTTGAGTAGATTGCGAATATCCATCGGTTGAACGAATAAAATAAAAGAAGAAGCTGGAAAATTTGCAGCACAAGTGGGACAATGATTGTCGCTCCGTTTATATAATCGCGAGCCAACTGAGGAGGAGGGGGGGGGGGTGAAATATGAGTGAGAGAGGACAACCACGGGTGCAGTAAAAGTAATATTTTAGGTTTCCTAGGCAGGTGGCACAAACAGTTTTAGAATGACACACGCTCGTACACACGCTTGCCTAAATTCTGACAAGCTCTGCTCTGCTCTGCTCTGCTTCAACTACCCCCATTCATCCAAGCCCACCCCCCAAGAGAACGGCCCCCCTTTACCCATCCACCCACCCACTCACTCCCCCCCCCGAACGAACAGAGAGAGGTTCCCTACATACTGCACATCTTCATGATTCTTATAATCCCTTGTTTTTTCTTTTTCTTTGCTCCTGCTTTCTTCCTGCCTCCCCTTGCCATAGCCCCGTCCTGCCCAACCACCCCCGGCCAAGTCTGTTTGTTCCTCGAGCCGACCTACAGCAGCAAGGGAAGGGGTGGACCACCGTATCTAGCAGTAACTGAGAAATAGGAAAGGCGAATTGCAGTTCAGATAAGGAGCTTATTTTCACTATTTTTTTTTTAAAAAAATGCACGTAAAAACAAAAGTTAAGCTACCCCAGTTTTCTCTCTTTCTCGAGCGCAGCGATCGTCCATCGTTTGCCAATGCGCTGCTACTAAATTAGTGGTCGGCCATCGTGAAAGGCATGGAACACTTGTCTTTGGGTCGCCTTGTTCGCACCTATCCTCTCTCTCTCTCTTTCTATCTATCTATCACTGATGCCGTTGCCATCACTACGACCACGCGCAGTATCCATGGTTGCAAGAAGACCGGTGCCCTGACCACCATGGAGAACGAGGGCACTCACATGAGACGAAGATGATTGACATTGGTAAAAGATCAACAGCTTCATATCACACCATGGCAATGCTAAGAACCTCCAAGAAATGTAGTGTATGTTGTTCAAATACGCATACGCATATGCCATCGCATAGGTCGGAAAGCTTGTCGGGATATACAATGCAGCTGGTTACCCACACGAAAACCAAAAACTGATTGTTTTCCACAGTTTTAAATCGCCACGTTTTTCTGCTGACTGTGAATCTTATATCGCGTGTAGTTGTATACAGAGTGTGGGTGTCCTGTCGTACGACAGTGCGGGCTTTGTAGTAAAATAGACGTCAGCTGTATAACTGCGTCTGGCGGTTCGACAAGATTTCGTATAAGGTAGGTTGGGCAATCGTTCGAGTACCTATCGGAAGCCAGGGCACGAGCCACTAAATAAATGAGCATTTAGCACACCCACCATGTCATAAGAATCCAATGCCGCAGCGCTAGCATGCAACTCTATCTAGAGGTGCCTGCAGTTTATTTGTGAGGCACTTGTAGCAGCAGTTAGCTAAAGGTCATGTCTACTAACTAGTGTGGTCATTAACCTGGCAGCAGCGACCGGGTAATATGCTTACTCTCTCTCTCGCTACAACCTCGATCGTCTGCTGGAAGAAAGAAGAATTTTGGTGGAACGTTCATGGGTCTCTTCAGCCAACAGATAACATGTGCGACCGAATTGATCTCGTGCAACATTGAACAACATTAGGATATCTGCCCGATAAGTATTCGTTGGCGTCATACGTGCGCCGACGCTATGACAAACCCCAACTCTAGTTGATCTTCGATGCACACGTCCATGCTTTTTTTAGACATTATGTTGCTTGCTTCACAGCGTACAAGCTTCCCATGCTATACGCTTTTGCGCAGTGGTCGTCCCATAAGGTGGGGTATAAGCTTTTTTTTGCAACACACACACACCTCCTTCCTTTATAGCCTATCAAATTATATATATTTTTTAAAAGAAGCGGTTATAAAACTGGTATGTGCCAGGGCCACAATAATCAATCCAAAATCGCCGACTCAATAGTGGACCCTTGCCTTGGCCAGACTTTGACTTTTAAAGTGGGTTGGCCAAAAGGAAGACAAGACATTCTCTCTTGATCCTTGTGAGCGCCGAAAGAAAAAAAGAAAATTAAACATTACGTGTCATAGGGTCAAATTGAACTCCAAACCCCGCTTATATTACGTGATTCTTTGGATGATGTGCTGCTGTTATACATACATGGAGAGAGAGAGAGAGAGAGGACGAGAAAGACAGTGGGTAGTAGCTCTGGACAACAGCTAACCGGTAATCTCAATCAATATGGGTTCTAATACTTAAATTTAGAAACGCTCCCCCTTAATTTCTTTCATATTATATGGGACCTAAACCCATAAGCACATACAATATCCTACCCCGTGCTTCATGCAGAGAAATGGAACACGCATGCAACAATCTTATAACACACAGACATTTTTCGTTATTGCCCGCGCAACGTGTCACAGGATCAGCTCCGAAAAGACACTCTGTGTTTACTAAATGCACGACTTTGTATCTTGGCTGGGCCTGTCTTTGTCCCTCTCTCTCGCTCTCTCTGGCTTAAATTCATCGAATACAATGATATGTTTTTTGGGGGGAGGGGAGGGTAGTCGATAATTAACCGATCGACCTTTTGCTGTTAGATAGATGAGAAAAAACACAGCATTCGTAGTTCTTTCATGTGGTAAGAAAGCTGGATGGCGCCAAAAAGACGTGCTATGTTTCTTCTGTTCTCGCATGTCCGGGTTCCTATTTGCCATGCTGATGATGGGGTGTGTGCACCACGCATGAACATCTTGAGAATGGGAAAAACAAAAAAAAATATGTGCAGAAGCGATAGAACCAAGGCCATGAGGGTCAAACACATGCGATCTAGCCATCTGCTCAAGGGGATAAACTGGCGAGTGAGTAGCACGTAGTAGTTGGCTGAGTACATCATGTATACTACATGCAAAAATATGAAGCAGTGTTTCATTACACAAAACATCCCTGCAGCTTAAACCACCTGCTTCACTTGTGGTTATAGAAGCTGGAGGAAGAGTCCGTCATACCATACTGCTTCTTTCATTTGATTTATTAGCAATCCCGCCGTCTCAACTTTTTCAAGTCATCGGGTCCTTGTAAATAAGGGAAATCCCTTCCCATCCTTCTTCCTACTATGTACCTCCTCGCCTTGCTTTTCGGATATCCCTTGAACCATATATGCAGGTAGATCACACAGTATGTATGTATGTTATATGAGAAGCAAAAGTAGTCTTATATGTATGGTGAGCATGGAATGAAGCGTGATGATAAAAGCAAGGTTTCTAGGGCCCTCTTTACCCTTCTCTCGGAGCATCACTTGTTTAAGGGTTAGTTAAAAAATGGTCGACCCCGAAGAACGCTGATCCAAAGGTTTGTATCTCCTGACCGCAGCTGAAATGATGAACCATTGCAATGATGCATTGAGAGTAGTAATATTTCTTTGTTTGAGCGAGCTACTACTAGTCTGCAGAAGAGAGAGAGAGAGAGAGCCGTGGGTAAAATGGTGTAACTGGATTTGTTCCTGAATGTTTCATCTATCTCCCAAGCTACTACATACTCCGTGACTGGAAAACCATATAAATGCCACTTATTACAAACAAAAAGCGTCATAACATGCATTTGAGTTGATAGGATGTTCAATATAAATATGAGATAAGGCTCATTTTAATTAATAAAAAAAAAAGAATTTGACAAACAAACAAAGAAATCAGCATCACAGTTACAGCGTTGGAAATTAAATTTAGCGATACAAAATATAAACGGGCCATGATTTTGAAAATGGGCCCTTTTTCCAAATTGAGCTACTTAAACGAAATTGAGCCATCCCAAACCAATTTAAGCTATTCACTCAAAAGTGACATGGCTACGAATTCAAGCCAAGAAAACTTCAAACACAAATATATTTATGCATACGGTGTAAAATATAATATCCAGGCAGAATAATTTTTATATAATTTTTACTGCTAGCATGAGAAGCGTCAGCTAGAATTACCCTCCGTGGCGAGCATTACAGTCAGCGATAGAGGCTTGCGGTTTAGTGTTTTTTAGTCGAACCGCAAAACCGCAAACCGCATAGGTTCGGATGTTGAATGATCAAAATTAAATTGTCTCAGCCCACGGTTGATAAACTAATAGCCTTATTTTACACCCTTCATCTCGATGCTTCCAATCAACGACATCACTCTAATTCCTTTCTACTCCTATGCACTTTCGATTATCTCGAAGGCGGAGTACAACAGGGACGAATACGAAAAACGTTTTCTGGAAACAGACGAACATGTGGTGCGATTCCTTGAAAATTGCGCGGAGGAAGATATGGAGCGTGCGCTCATTAACGAAATTGCTCGCTTGAGATCTCTTCGCCCTGACGTCGAACCCGGATTGAGCAACAGCTCCATCCGTGTCCCTGAGGTTGACGCAGGAGACAATCTTGCCGAACCGAACACGGCAGTGAAAGCTGAACTGGCAGCAATGGAGAGCGAGCTGCTTGAGCATTGGAAGACCCGTCGTGCTGAAATAGCTCGAAAGCACGGGTATGAAGTGAAGTCCTTGGCTCCTGCGAAGCTACCATTTCTTCGCAAGAATACCGGAAAGGTTACCGGCTTTAATGTCTTCCAAAAAGAACTCTACTGCGAACAAGGTTGCTAGTATTTCAATGAATTTGTCGTTCAATTATTCGAATATAGCTAATTGACACCTATGAAATATTACTAGATCGTAAGCGATACAAAGAGGATCGTACCCAAATGGGTAACATCAGGTTGGTTATATTAGAATTAACTGTAACATCTGGTATCCAGCTCTGATTATATCGACCTTAACCAACTATTGGATTAGGAACTTGAAAACAACCTTGAAAAAAAGCCAACACCAAAAACCAGTCCAAAATCCAGATCCCCAACTTTAAAAACTAAACTCACGGCAGACGAAAAAACGAAACTTAAAGCCATTTTCGAAGATCTAGATCCAAAAAACTTTTGGTATCTAAAATCAACAATCTCTGAACCAAATCAAAAAGCCAAGTCTGTGGAAGAGCGTATGATAAAATTTGCTCTTAATTGTAATTACTATCAGTAAGATGTGGTTTGATTTTATATATTGATTATGGTAGCGCTTTGTACGTAAATTCATTTGTTATTTCTTTGACTTTTGGTAGTCCAAGTCAACAACTTATACTCGATCTTACTGATTCCAACTGGGACGACATATTCACCAAGGCAGAAAGAAAAGAAATCGAAGATGCTGGATGCAAACTATTAAGACCAGTGGATGTGTCATTGACTCGACTACTAGGTGAATTATATAAAAAGGTAAATAGAACTAAAAGATGGGTTATAAACTTCAAGGCTATTTCCCTTATGATTCTCCTCAATACCTTCATATCATAGAAAACAGCAAAAGAAGCATTTAATTTTGCACGTACAATCGAACTTGATCCTGAAGATGAGCCTATTCTCGCATGGTTATCGACATCCGTCCAAAACACTGCTCTTCTTTATCTCAAGAAAAATAATTTCAATATCCAAAATTACCTCGAATCGGATAAGATGTATTATCTCTGGAGTTTCTTGAATAAGATCTATGATGCATCGGACGACATTGCTGCCCTTGGGTAAGTAATAACACTATATTTTTCATGTATAAGTTCCATATTTATCTATCATGTAAAGCTTACGAAATCAATGTGTTGGATTATGGTGTTGTAGGAAGGAGAAACACAGTACTGCAAGTGCATCAGCAACAAACCAAAAACGAAAATTGTCGGCAGTAGACCCCGTGGAAAATTTAAAAATGGGAAGAAGAACTGATACAACCTATATTGGAGGAAACGGTGTTGAACTAGGTTGCTTGGAAATTGGTAGAACAAACGATCAAACTAAAGAGTTTATCGATGGTTCAATTAAGATGCCTATGGTAATGAGAGACATGCTGTTGAAATTGGTCGAAGAAAACCCAGCTCTTGTCAATCAACTTCATATTTTAGGATATCTCATCATGGGTAAGTTACGATTAATAAATGCTATTTTTTTGGTATGATATTAACTACATGTCCCTCTGTACTACTTCAGGTGACAAAGTTAGCTTAATGGATATGGATATCCCTGATGGATACGTGACAAGAATTCGTCGTACGAAACAAGTAGCATATCCTGACAGTAGCAAGAATTTCATAGTGCGTATTGGCCCATTATTAGAGCTGGCAGCCATTGGAAAAGAAATTGTCGAAGATACCTATAAAAATTTCAGTAACAATATGATTCCGTTGTCGGCAGCTGCAGATGAACAAGAAAAACTGGTCATCCACCTCGTCTATCTGGATTATCATCATTCGCATTATCATCATCAGAATCATCAACATCATCATCGTCAAACAAACGCCAAAACACTGGTAGCGCGACATCCAGCTCATAGTCTCACCTTTGAATATACCTTTATATCATAGTCTTATCAATTTTTTAATAATATAATGTAAAAAGTAGCAGTTTACGAAAAACAACGTTTATTCCTTCCCCCTTTATCTGTATATTATTTCATGTATCTTTTGTTGATACATGTATATCCAATTATCAAAAAAAATATGATGGGAGAATGATAAAAGAAATAACTGTACAAAATAGAAATTTTTTATGGAGAGAAATTGGTTGCATATATATGATATAGTAAATATATAAATGTGAAGGAAGGGAAAAAAAAGTAAAAGAATTTTTATAATCTATGTGCGTTGGAAGAAATAGGCTCACAAGAATGATAAATTGTTAACTTGTAGGAACCGGATATACAGGTTTTGTTTCTTTAATTTGAGAATCAGTCAGATGAATTATATACAAATACTGTAAACGTGAGGAATGATGATAACAAAGTTGATTTTTATGTACCACATATTAGATAAAGAATAGTGAGTACGAACTTCGTTGGACAAGATGATTCACTACTTGTAATATTAAAATAATCCGAAGGGTCCCTATTCTTTTTTTTTTAGTTACAAATGTTGGTAACAAAGGAGGCATCTTTTGAATTGCAATCCATTGGCATTGTTTTTTTTTTGATCTAATAACTGTCCATTCATGTTTCTCGACTAAAGTATTCTTCAATGGTTGGGGTTGACCTTTCCGTTGGATACTGAGACACGGAATTATGTATCGCCAAGTCATCATTGTCATATTCTTTCACAATATGCCTAACTTCATCAAAGAAACTTTTTCGTTGAGGTTTGGCACCAATATCTAAAAGTATAGTATTATCACTATCACTATCGTTATCATTATCAGGAAACTTGACCCACCATTGGAAAAAAAAAGGGCCCTTGATCGTATATACATGCTCCTCGTTCAGATATCCAGGATTCACGAAGAATTTGATTATCAAAAAAATTATTACTTTCAGCTCACATCGGTCCTTCTTTGTTCACGCTTGAATTCGTAGCCATGCCACATTTGAGTGAATAGCTTAAATTGGTTTGGGATGGCTCAATTTCGTTTAAGTAGCTCAATTTGGAAAAAGGGCCCGTTTTCAAAATCATGGCCCGTTTATATTTTGTATCGCTAAATTTAATTTCCAACACTGTAAAAGGAAAGAGGGGAGAGCGAGCCAGATATCCAAGGAGGACGAGTATGACGCTGAGGAGATGCATAAACCAAGTGGATAGAGTGGGATTTACAATGAGAGTAAGCTCCTCTCCACCTCTGTTCTATGCGTCGTGCAGTTAGTTTTCGTGTGGCCTCCGACCGCATCGATTGTATCTTTTGCGAAACGTATAGCTTTTTACTGTAACAAACAGGCTGAGTTGAGCACAACCACATGGCAATAGGATCCCGACCTATTCAATACGTAATGGGGGGAGCGAAAGGGCGAAAGGAATGAGCGGACTGTGTAATGTTCGAAAATAAGGTTAGACGGTGTGTGGTTCGTTGTTGTTCCTGTAGAACCATTAAGCATGAATCGACTGACTTTTTTTTTTCAGGGTTTTCGTTTTTGGAATGGGTAGATCGTTTGTATTGGCAAAAACAAATATTCAAGTAAGGACCGTGCACACCCTGTCATCTGAGCCTCATCTATGTCTTTTGTAATCTCTCAATATAATATCTGGAAGCAGCAGTATTAGATGTTACCTAATGGTTGGCGCTTCCCCATCTTGGCGTGACACGAGTTTCATGTGAACGACGATGCGCCATGGCAAAGAGAAAGAACTACTACTACTACTACTACTACTACTACTAAGCTTTCTGGCAGTCTCGATTTTGTTTGCGGTTCTTGATGAACTCATGCGCATATCTGTTCTTCTATGGTTCAATCGTTCAATGGTTCGCAGTGGACTGAAGGCTTTCCTTTTTGCATGGGTTTGTCACGATTGCCTCTAAATGGCGCCAGAGAGTTAGGGATTGTGGCAAGTCGTGAAGGATATATTTCGATTTGAGATGCTGTACTGGTTGATCATGTTTGTACTTTTAAGCTAAGCAATGGAGACTTGCGCTCTTTCTGAACATATACACCAGAGGCTATATCCATTAACTGAGATGCGTCGTTGCTCATGGAATAGATGACTCCTTAGTCCGATTCCAACTCTTGTTCATTCTACGATGTAATGATATGACACTTGTCAAAGCACTAACCTAATAGTGTGTTTCTGAATCCAGCAGTATTTGGATTTATTCCAACTATTCTGATCCCATGGGTTGGGATGGTCAGTACATCGGGTTTGTGGGCGAACGTTTCCCTCGGGAAGATCGGGTTTCAGATGTCACATGCACAGCAGCAACAGCAACAGTGGCAGCATCAATCAGATTGAAGGTATTACAGTACGGAGAAAGAAACGCCACTACAGTAGAGCTGTTAGATGGGAAGAAGAATGCTGTAGATGATTTATGCCTCGGTTATTGTAATATAAAATATACAGGCGAGCAACCCAGTGCGTGACACGCGTAAACAAACACGCCTTCTCGTCGTATCACCGAAACCACCCACTCCCCCCTTATCACAGTGAGAGTGGCTCGGTGCCACTGGACACCACTGTTGTGCATTGTGTTGCCAGATGGGTCCCAGCGCTCTCACATGGTTGTCATCCATCCGAGAACGTAACGTTTCAGAAGAACAATGGAATGAGAGAGAAACAAAAAGGCAAGAAATTACCATTGAAACAATTGTATTAAGTCATGAGGAAAGTTTAGCCGCTATGAGGAAGGAGGCGCGTGTTGTGCGGTCCAGTGAGAAGAAAACACAGTATCATCCTCATCATCGACATAACAATTTGGGGGTGGGGATGGGGGATGAAGAGCCGTTAGCTATTGGTGGCTGATGGCCGTGTTATTGGGTTTGGTGGGATGCCCGTATCATCGCGCCTTAACAATTTGTGTCACAGCAACCGAGCTCGATAAGTGGGGCAATTACGATGACAGTTCACTTTGTGGTTTGTGCACTCATGAACCAAGCCGGTGGCAAGAGAGAAAGAGAGAGAGAGAGAGCGCAGGTACGACTACAACAACGACTAAAGTGGGCATCAGCTAAAGGGGCCATTTTTTGCAAAAATCAAATCGACTTTAAACCCCGCGTCAGGTGATCAATAAGAGGGGATTCTTCCTCTTGTTGAATGTCTTGAACTTCGATCTCTTGTTGTTCGCGTTCTGCTCTTTCGCATTCTGCTTTTTCGCGTTCAAGTCTCAATCTTTTTCCTTGTTCGTAGTTGGCTTTACCAACTTTAGCTCTTCTTTTGGTTCCTGCCATTTAAATGCGTATTTAATTATGAAGTTGGTGAAAGATGACGTGAAAAAGATTTGCGATTCAAAATAGATGATGGGGAAATGGTGTACAAAAATTGTTCATTTCCTAGCTAAAAGTACTAAAAATAGTAGACTTCGAAACGTCATAGCTCAGCAACAAGTGAGCGCATTGAAAAAAAATTTAGTACGTTGTGTTCCTCTCCTCTAAAGCTATCGATTCTGCTATCTTTTGTGGCAATTAAGCATGCAGAGATAACTCTATGAAGGCTGGAAATCGGGTCTTAAATTGGCCCCTTTAGCTGACGCCCACTTTAGTCTGCAGAAGAGAGAGAGAGAGAGCCGTGGGTAAAATGGTGTAACTGGATTTGTTCCTGAATGTTTCATCTATCTCCCAAGCTACTACATACTCCGTGACTGGAAAACCATATAAATGCCACTTATTACAAACAAAAAGCATCATAACATGCATTTGAGTTGATAGGATGTTCAATATAAATCTGAGATAAGGCTCATTTTAATTAATAAAAAAAAAGAATTTGACAAACAAACAAAGAAATCAGCATCACAGTTACAGCGTTGGAAATTAAATTTAGCGATACAAAATAAAAACAGGCCATGATAACGAAAATGGGCCCTTTTTCCAAATTGAGCTACTTAAACGAAATTGAGCCATCCCAAACCAATTTAAGCTATTCACTCAAAAGTGACATGGCTACGAATTCAAGCCAAGAAAACTTCAAACACAAATATATTTATGCATACGGTGTAAAATATAATATCCAGGCAGAATAATTTTTATATAATTTTTACTGCTAGCATGATGAGAAGCGTTATCACCACTAAGAATAATATTACTAACAGTACCGACGTGAGAATTGTACTTTTTCAAAACCATATGGAATAGAACAGTACTGCAGAAATCAATTACAAGAAAAAAAAACGAAAAATAGTCTGTAGTAAATAAATCAAAGCTGAATGATCAGTATATCAAGCTAATATTTAAAGAGTCTTGACTATCTGTGGGATCAGATGAAAGTTAAATGATGCAGAAAAAGTAGCAGTAACAAAGGATATGGTTATTGAGAAAAAATGGTAGAATGTAGCAGATACAGATAGTGAAATGACATGTATAATTAAAAAAAGGCAATAATGACACCATCAGTTGTACTCATCAAAAACCATCATCTATAAAGTAATAGCGCCATCCGATCATTTGTTTGGCAATATAAGAATGAAAAGGATCAATACATGAGATAAGAGATCTAAAGGAGTTCAGCCTTCAAATGTTTTATCAACTAACATAAAAAACATTTCAAAAGATGGTTAGACCTTGTAAAATTATTGCAAAAGTATACTGAAGAAAAGAAAGGTTTTTTTTACATACCATGTTGTATAGACTTTAACAACACCCAATACTTCGATTTAAGAAAAAACAGAAAAGGGTACTTGTTCGCTTGCATGTTTTAGATATTCTTTGATGCCATCACCTCTTGATTATAACCTACGTGTTGAAAACTGGGCTATGCAAACAACAAAGCTATCATAATATTTTTCGATGTAATGAAGACACTTTACCTTTAAGTCATACGCTTCAATTACCATCTTCCATATTGAGAGTCTTGTACTTCCTTTCTTCTACAGGTTCAACTTAATTATAAAAAAAACTTTAAAGCAGAAACATAAAAGAAACTTCGCAATGCACCTCTGATGTTCGGCAGGGATATTACCCACTCGATACCCCAAAAGTACATTACTTGCAGCGGTATTACCCACTGCTATGATAACCAGAAGAAAAAAAAAGAACTATGAGGATAACTTGGGGAAAAAAATCTGTAATAACCGAATCTAAAAATCACGTCACACTCTTTCGTTTCTGTGACGGCAACCACCAGCATTTTTTTTTGCGCTTTAATATAAATCTAAGTTTAGAACGCCCGCCAAAGCCAAGCATATAATCTTACTCTTCACTCCTTTGAAACCTGTAGCCAGAACAGTTGCCATAGCAATGGCAGGAAACATCGCAACAACTTTAACAAAGAGTAAGTAGTGTTAATAAATTACACATCCACATTCTACTGACGAGAACCATAATAAAATAACTTATGTATAGAATTCATCGAGTATTTTGACCAGGAGACCGAAGCTCCAAGTCTTGCCCATTTTTATTGTTATGACAATGAAGCCTTCATAAAAGGTACCCCCAACACTGAATACAAGGCAACCTGGTCAAATCGGTTTAAAAAAGCAGTCCAAGAAAGAAATATTGTGGTAAACAACACAGCTTCTATAATAATAATCGTGACATGAAAAAGATCGACAAGTTACTTTATTGAAATAGGATTATAGACAAGACAAACCTAACTGGGAAGAAATACAACAGGTTGGTTACATTAGAATTAACTGTAACATCTGGTATCCAGCTCTAATTATATCGACCTTAACCAACTATTGGATTAGGAACTTGAAAACAACCTTGAAAACAAGCCAACACCAAAAACCAGTCCAAAATCCAGATCCCCAACTTTAAAAACTAAACTCATGGCAGACGAAAAAACGAAACTTAAAGCCATTTTCGAAGATCTAGATCCAAAAAACTTTTGGTATCTAAAATCAACAATTTCTGAACCAAATCAAAAAGCCAAGTCTGTGGAAGAGCGTATGATAAAATTTGCTCTTAATTGTAATTACTATCAGTAAGATGTAGTTTGATTTTATATATTGATTATGGTAGTGCTATGTACATAAATTCATTTGTTATTTCTTTGACTTTTGGTAGTCCAAGTCAACAACTTATACTCGATCTTACTGATTCCAACTGGGACGACATATTCACCAAGGCAGAAAGAAAAGAAATCGAAGATGCTGGATGCAAACTATTAAGACCAGTGGATGTGTCATTGACTCGACTACTAGGTGAATTATATAAAAAGGTAAATAGAACAAAAAGATGGGTTATAAACTTCAAGGCTATTTCCCTTATAATTTTCCTCAATACCTTCATATCATAGAAAACAGCAAAAGAAGCATTTAATTTTGCACGTACAATCGAACTTGATCCTGAAGATGAGCCTATTCTCGCATGGTTATCGACATCCATCTAAAACACTGCTCTTCTTTATCTCAAGAAAAATAATTTCAAAATCCAAAATTAACTCGAATCGGATAAGATGTATTATCTCTGGAGTTTCTTAAATAAGATTTATGATGCATCGGACGACTTTGTTGCCCTTGGGTAAGTAATAGCACTATATTTTTCATGTATAAGTTCCATATTTATCTATCATGTAAAGCTTACGAAATCAATGTGTTGGATTATGGTGTTGTAGGAAGCAGGATGTGCAGTACCAAATTGGCTATAAATTTACAATAGTTTTCGATAAATCTAATAAATTGCTTGCTGCCATATTAAATTATATCATCTATTTTGATATTTTATCAATTTTATGACATCATGTGACCAAAATCATGCATTCAATGATTATAAAAATTAAAAAATCCATAATATAATAAAAGAACGACCTAATGGATACAACAAACTATACACTACTGATTACAAATGAAGTAAACTCAATTATTGCAAATTATTGGCAATTCCTAGAATGGAATTGGCCTACTGTACATAATAAATATAAACATAGAACTGATTTGAGACATATTAAATTCATAGATAAAATTAAGGATGAATTGTTACGTAAATTAGGTTATATTGCTGTATTTTATTTTCTAGTATTTTTATATACAAACAAGGAATATCCCAGACCTTACTTTGAAATTGAAAAAGGATTGTTTTTATTATATCATTTAGTCTCTGGAGTATGTGGTGAAAAATTCGAAAAATACTTACCACATAGCACATTTCATACATTTTATAAAAAGTTTTGGATGGATGAGGACAACTACAAACGAATCAACAAAATAGTAAATGATTCAATGAATAACATGTTTTCATCTAACAAATTACGTATTCTATCTGCTAGAAAGCATAATCCCGACTTATTTAAACATGTAACACTTGTATTGGATGGCCATGATTCAAGAATTAACTATGTAGATACTGAAATTGACCACTTTCAAAGAATGTATTCTTATAAATTTAAGAAGAATGGAATACGTACCCAATTTATTAGTGATATGAATGATATGATTATTTATACTTCTAAAAGTGACTTTTGTTCTGATAGCTCAGATGGTAGCATGTTTTTAAATATGAAATTATTTAAATATATGCATGAGAATGACATAATGGCAGTTGATGGTGGATATACTTTATTTATCACGCAATTTACAGAGCTTGCTAATGAAAAAGGATATAACTTTAGCCATGATAATTTTGTATACCCTATACGTAAAAATGTAAATGAGCCCTTAACAATTACTGAAGATCATTTTAATAAGACATTTGGAAGTTTTAGGACAAAAGTTGAGAATCAATTTTCAGAAATTGGGAATAAATTCTGCCGATTCAATAATAACAAGTCAGTTGTTAAAATGGATAACATAAAATACTATAATCTGCAATTTTGTGTAGCTTGTTTATTAAAAAATACTACAAAATTTGTAGTAATGTTCAATATTCCTATTTTACCACACCATAAACTATGGCACAGTAATGATTTCGATTTTCCAGTAGAGCATAAACTAATTGATATAGTGGTTAGCAATGATAAACAAAATAAAGATAAACTAGATAAAATGATCAGATTACAAAATGACCTGCTTAATATGGCTATATCAAATGAAGAAAT